TTTCTTTCTTTTCTTCCTTCCTTCCTTCCTTCCTTCCTTCCTTCCTTCCTTCCTTCCTTCCTTTCTTATTGCGGTAAAATATGTATAACATAAAATACACCATGACAACCATTTTTAAGCGTACAGTTCAGTGGCATTAAGTGCATTCGCATTGTTGTGCAAGCATCACCCCTGCCATCCCCACGACTTTTTCGTCTTTCCCAACTGAAACTCTGTCCCCATCAAACAGTGACTCCCCACGCCCCCGCCCCCGCCCCTGGCAACCACCATCCTTCTTCCTGTCTCTGTGATTTTGATTATTCCAGGTACCTCATACAAGCGGAATCCTACAGTATTTGTCTTTTGCGGCTAGCATACTTCACTTAGCATAATGTACGTCCTCAGGGCTCATCCATGTTGTAGCACGTGCCGGGATTTCCTTCCTTTTTAAGGCTGAACCACACTCCCTTGCACGTGTGTGCCATGTTCTGTTTATCCATCCAATCACTGGAAAATGGCACTGGTGTCGTGGTAACAGCTAGCTTTCCCCGCCCTAGCCCTGAGAGCACCCAAGACAGGAGAAGGCTCGTGTGGATGGCAGAGGGGGACAGACCCCAGGAGGTCCAGGTGTCGCTCTTGGCCTTGTCCTCAGGGTCAGTCACTGGACAGAAACGGAGCCTCACAGACCAGGACTTTCCCTGTGGCCGGGCTTTGGGGCATCTCATAAGGCTCGGACTCAACAGCTCTTCCTCCAGAATTACTTATGAAGAGGTGAAACTTTGAAAAGGTTAGGAATCCCACAAAAAAGGCAGAAAGTAAAACAATTATCTATAAGCCAAGGTGATGTCCAAGTACCATTATGATTAAAACTCCCGGTGGAGGATTCCCTTCACGCCATCCTATTGGAAAGAAAATGGCACCTCCCCAACATCAGCCGTGTTAACTTAAGGTCAGATCCAGAAAACTTTTGAAAATAACTTATCCTAATTCTTTTCAGGCTCATGTGATGCTGGTCGAGCTGCTTCAAATGCCATCAGTCTTCAAGGTCTGGGGTGAGTTTACACAAACTGTCTTTGTCCAGCATTAGAGACTTTTGCGGGACAACCAAGAACATGAAATACCAGCCCTTCCTCAGCCACCCTCTCTGGCGCTTCCGGAAGCTTCAGGAAGGCTCCGGGCTTTCCCGCTCTCACCCAAACAACCTCCTGCTTCTCTCGCTTTGTCTCCTTAGCTCTGATCTTGGGAGAAAAGGGCAAGTCAGTTGCTAGACTATAAATAGACAGTAATAGATCTGTCCCGGAAATGAAAAGATGTAAAGGACAGGCATATTACAGGCCTCTCACGGTCACTGCCAAAAGCAAAAGCATCTTCAGATCACCGTGTCTGGAGCCCTCACTGCTGGACTAACGGGAAGCCCAGACTTTGAGGTGCTCCCCTCCCCAAGGAGCCCCTGTGGAGCCACCGTGGAGCCCTGTGGTGGGTTTCATAAGCTCAGAGCTGTCTCCCACCTTTGTGGCCTCTCTACTCGGGGGGCCTCTGCTCTGGGGCAGCCTCTCCTCCTTCCAGGACCACTGCGTCCTGACTGCCCACAGATTTCCGGCCACTAGGCTTGCTCAGCTATCAGCTCTTACAGAGCGAGGCCTTACTGACCATCCCTGCACCTCAGCCCCCAACCCCAAACCCCCTGGGCACACGGGCCCTGGGGGCGGTGTGTAGGGTGGGCGTCAGTACTGACTGAGGGGCCAGTTGGTGCCGCCTCACCCTGCACCACCAGCTTCCAGCCCTTTCTCTCAATTCTTCCAGGGGGCTCCCCTCATCTCCCTTATCAGGCACTTCCTGTGGGGACCCCCAGTCTAACACTCAGGTATAAGTGGATGAACTCTCCCACAGGATCCCTGGGCCCCAAGTAAACAAGGACTATGGTCGGACATGCATCACAATGTCCAGAACATTCCATGACAGCCAAGGAGTCCAGGAACGTTCTAGAACAGCCTAGATCATTCAAGACACACAGATGACCTAGGGGCAGACAATCTGACAGCTCTGATAGGCAGCCTCAAATCTTAGATAAAGTCTGGATTTGTATAATAAAGACCCAGAAATAGAACTAAACTGCCCTGTAAAGGCTCATTATCGTCGCCCTCCCAAGTCTCCCTGACACATCTTTCTCCTCCATCAGTCCCACCACCCAGGGAGGGTTCCCGCCTCTAGCTCTGACCCCTGTGACCTCAGCTTCTGTCTGGCAGCTCTTGGCACTCAGTTGACGTTGGCTCTATTAATACGAGGATTGCTTGGTTGTCTCCCACTCCGTGTGCAGGGTCCCTCTGCACCCACTTCTCCATCCCACCCACCGAGGGCCACAGCACGCGGGAGCCCCACAGATGCTTTCTGCCCCCCCCCCCCCACCAGCAGCTGGCGATCTCACTTCAGTGTGCAAATGAGACGGAACGACCTAAACCGTTTGCTAAAATCACAATTCTGTGGATCACTTAGACAAATTCTTGTCTTTTTAGAATTTCGGATAAACACGCTTCCTTCACAAATTCAGATGGTAAAGTGACAGTCACTCCACATGGCAAATGCAAGGTTGTTGTTAACGGGGTGCCCATCGCCACCAAGACGAAGCTGCAACATTTGGTAAACTTTCCTGCGAGCCCACAGGATTTCCTAAGGCCGCCCAGAGAGAGCGCTAGAGTGGGGGCTGGGTGGGGCTGGGGGTTACCTGCCTTTAGTCCCTGTGCTGTGGTAGCACGAGAGTGACGATAATGACGTGTCACAGCTGTGGAGCCGGGAGAGCTGACTCCTCACCTACAAACAGAGGGGCCAATTAGATGAGCACCAAGACCCCGTCAAGCTCTAACGTTTGGACACTTTAGATTTTTAAAAGCCTGCTATTGGGAGGGACCGCGTGGTACCCAGCAAACATCGGGCTCTCTGACCCCTCCCCGCACCCCAGCCCACGTCCCCAGCACCACAGGGCTCCTCCTAGCCCGGTCCCCTCCCCAGTCCATTCTCCACGTTGCAGCTACAGAGAGCCTTTTACACAAGCAAGCTGGACAGGCCGCCCCTGCTGGCAATCCTCCGGTGAACCCCCTTTTGCAACACCCGTGTGGGGTGTCTGTCCCCTCTCCCTGCCTCCCCTGGCCTCACTGCTCTGCACGCACTTCTCCAGGTCACACTGACCTCGGGGGCTCTGTTCCTTGCCTCGTGAAACTTCCCACCCTGGAAGCTTCACCTCAAATAGCTCCCTTGGACAAGGACTCTGCTAATCCCCGGTGGGAGCCAGGCCTCCTTGACACTCTGCAGAAGCACCTGTGCCCCCAGCGGGGCGGGGCGGGGGACCTGGCCCTCCTGGAGCAGGCTGTCCTCACCCCCTCGTCCGAGGGCCACGTCATCCCTCTGAGCTGACCGTCTCCTCCCTAGGACCGCATCATCCTGGGATCCAACAGCGCCTACCTCTACGTCGGGTTTCCTTGGGAGCGAGGCGGCGAGGACTTGAGCAGGTTCGACTACGACTTTTTCCAGCTGGAGAGAGCGGCTGCGGAGGGAGTGAGTGTGGACCAGCTGGGTGAGCAGCCCCGCGCCCTGCCTGCTGGCATCCGCCCGGGGCCGCTCTGAAAAGCAGCTGCTTTCCTTAAGAAAACAGCCTTTTACTGTGTCAAAGTACAATGTATAGAAAGTTAAAATATAATTTACATGTCAAAGACATATTTAATTCGTTAAACTATCTCCCTCATCAATGCAGTAGAGACGGAAGAATGCCGACTGAGATGGCTGTCTCCCAAAGCAATGAACGGCCCTCAGGGTGATGACCCTCTACTAGACGAAAACCATCTTTGCCCATCTTGTACAAATTACTATCTAAGGGCTCAGAGTCCGGGCCCTAATCAGTAGTAAGTAGTAAGTACGGTCACCCCCCCCTTATCCGCAGGGATGTGTGAAGACCCCAGTGGATGCCTGAAGCCACGGACTGTACCAGGCCCTGTGCATACTGTGCTTTCCCCCAAATGTACCTCTGAGAAAGTTTCGTTTATAAATCAGGCAGAGTAAGAGATTACCAGCGATGACTGACAATAAAATAGAACAATTATAATGAGGTTCCGTAACAAAAGTTATGCAAATGTGGTCACTCTCTTAAAATGTCTTACCGTGGTGAAGTGGGGTGACAGTGCCTACGTGATGAGACAAGGTGCGGTGAATGACACAGGCCGGCTTTGTGACGGAGCATCAGGCTACTGTGAGGGTTACTCAATCACAGACGCTATGATACCCCGACGGACGGTCGGATAACCGAGGTAGCTACCAAGTGACTGAGGGGCAGGTGGCATATGCAGCGTGGATACGCTGGGAAAAGGGAGGATTCACGGCCCGGGAGAAACGGGGCGGGCCAGCTCCAGATTTCATCACGCAGCTCAGAATCGTGCTCGATTTAAAACTGAGAAATGGTTTGTTTCTGGAATTCTTAGGTTAGTATTTCCAGACCACAGTTGACTGTGGGTCATGGAAACCGTGGAAAAGTGAAGCCATGGGTAAGAGGCGATTGCTGTACGTAATGGTACATTCTCCTAGGGTGTCAGAGAATCCTGACGCAAGGCCCCGCTATGACACTTAAAGGACGGGCAGCATCCTTTTGTCTTACTTCCCTGTTTTGGATGATTTTTCTTGATAGTTCTCTCTTTGCACCTGAAACCTTTCTGTGGTCATCATGAGGCTCTGCCCCTGGGCACAGTCCCCGCTGCGTCTCCACCAGGAAGTCAGAGTTGTCAGTCAGTCTGTTGTCAGTGCTCAAGCGTGCACACTTGGCCCCTGGCCCCTGGCGGGGAAGCAAGCGTTTGTGGGTAATTCTTAATTTTGAAACAATTTCTTGAAATGTACAGAAAAGTTTCAAGAGTAATGCGTAGAACTCTCATACACGCTTCACTCAAAATTTCCATTTTAACATTTTACTATATTTGTTTTATTTTATGTGTGTGCAGAGATACAGGTATATATGTAATTTTTTTCTGAACTATTTGAGAATAAGTTGCAGACGTGATGCTCCTTTATCCCTAAACACTTCATCGTATGTTTCCTAAGGAAAAGGTCGTTCTCTTACGAAAAACTACAGTACAATGATCAAAATCAGAAAGTTAACATTCATATAAGATTATTATTTAATCTATGAATTTTACTCTTATTTAACTAATTATTTTAATAATGTCCTTTATAAAAAAAATTTGGGTCCAGGGTCCGACCCAGGACCACATGTTACATTTAGTCATCACGCCTCTCCGGTCTCCTTAAATCTGATGTGATCCATCAGGTCCGTCTTTGTCTTTTATGATCGTGACATTTTTGAGGAATAAAGAGCAGTTTTTTGTATAACGTTCCTTAGTTGGGGTCTTTGTGATGTTTCCTCACGTTTGGATTGAGGTTACAGGTTTTGGGCAAGGACACCACTACAGTGATGTTATGTCTTCTGTGTCAGGAGGCACACGGTGTCGCACTATCCATCATTGGTGACGTTAACTGTGATTGCTTGGTTAAGGGGGTCACCGCCAGGTTTCTCCACTTAAAGTTAGTAATTTTCTCTTTTTAAGTAATAAATATTTTATGGGGAGAGACTGAAATGTAGATATCCTAGACCTCATCACACTCTCGGCCACTAGTTTTATCACCCTTTGATCTTCTTTCTTGGATTAATTATTATGATGATTTTCGTCCAATACTGAGTTTTGGGTGCCACCATTTCTTCTATATTTACTTGAAATTTTTCGAACATAAGAAAAACATTTTCTCTCCTACTTTTTTAAATCTATTCATTCATTTCTGTCAAGATGAACTCAATGGATTAAAATTTGTTGCTTTCATGATTTATTTTCATGTGCGAATGGTCCCGGACTTGGCCGGTAGGAGTCCTTCCATCTGGATTCTGCGTCCTTCTGGCACGTCCTCCTCATGCTTGAAGCTCTGGCTTACTTTCTGGCATAAAAAACACTCCAGGTTCATCTCATGGGTCCTCAGTCTCAGCGCTGGAGTCAGTCGTTTCTCCAGGGGTCCTGATTCCTTTCGGGGGAGAATGGCATTTGTAAGGCAGGACCTGGTGCTACATGTGCAAACTGCTCTATAGCTCTATACTGACAGACAGATGTACATCTCCCAAACATATTTATAGCTTTATCTATATCTGTGAAACCACGGTGCACACTGATACCTCACCTTGAACCTTACTGGTCTCCTTTCTGCTTATCAAACACACTGAGCCCTTTTCTGCCTCAGGGCCCTTGCACTTGCTGTTCGTTTTTCTCCGCCTCTTCGGCTCATTCTCACCTTTATCACTCAGCTCTAATCCCTCCTCAGATAGATCTTCCCATTTCTTATACTCATCTAGGTAACTCTTTCTCACTTTGTCACATTTTTAAATTATACTATTCGTTTACTTGATTCTTATCTATTTTTCCACATGAGAATGTAAGTTCTAGCTGGGATTTTTTTTTTTCTGCTGTTCATCCATTCATTTATATCTCCTTTCGTTCAACAAGTATTTATTGAGCTCCTACTATGCGCCAGACATGGTTCTAAGTTCTGGGGATCCAGCAGCGAGCAGAGCAGTGCCCTGCCCTCACGGAGCTGACGGGCGCTTGCTCACTTCTGCATCCCCACAGCCTGATGACACTGCCTAGCTGTGGGCCTTCAGTAAGGATTTGTCCAACAAATGATGACGAATGAGATTAACCACAGCGGCCCCCACATAGCACACTCTGTCCTGTCTGAGACCACTCCGACTCCAGGAGCTCCATGCCCTGGACATTAGGACCCTCCCAGGGGAGGGCAGGCCAGGATCCGTGCGCCTCACTCCCTTGTAACCCCATCCCGCGCCTCCAGAATCGGGGGGCCCAACAGCTAGAGCTGGAGAGATGGCGATGAGCCACGCCCAGTTCTGGCCTAGAAGAAATTACAGCCGGAGATTTTGAGTCAGATACGTCCCCAGGCGTCGGATGCAGGCTCCTGAGCAGCCTTCCCCTCCTCTCTCTCCGGCCTGTGCTGGGCTGGGCTGGGCTGCGGGAGGAGCACAGCACCCACACTTTCTCCAAGCCCACCTGCTCTGCCCGAACCCGCCTTAACAGCCTGGGCAGGGAGCAGCGGGATGTACCCACACGTGTGCAAGACAGTTCCTCCCTTTTCCCTACCCTAGAGGTTTTTACCCTCCTCACAATTTTAGCAAAACAAATTGATTTGAAATTTACCTCCTTGTTCTTTTCTGATGTTCATGGCCCAAAGCAAATAAGACACTGCCCTACCAAGCCTGGTGCCAGAATACTCTGTCTATTCATTTATTCATTCACGAGGCAGACTGCACACCTGCCTCCCAGACCAGGGCCGGTGGCACAAGGAGGTCGAACAGGCCCCAGACCCTGGGCTGAAGGTGCTCAGCACCCAGTGAAGCCTCGCTCGGGCAGACCGAGGGCCGTTCTGGGGAGTGAGACCTCAGGGTGGAGGGCAGTGTGAACCCACGGGCTGAGAGTTCCTGGCCGGGGTAGTGCCAAGCTGGCAGGGGCTTCGCTCTCCCACCGTCTCCATGTTCCCCTCCTCCGAGCCACCCCCTCCCGCCCCCCCAGTAGAATCCAAGTAAGAACAGGTTGCTTGCTGTGCCAGCTGCAGCTTCAGGATGAATCCCCAGACCTTCCTTCCAGCCACCTTCCCCCATGCCCCCTCCCAGGACGGTCTGGAGCCACCTTGGGTCCAGGACTCTGAGACCAAGAATGGCAACCCGAGGCAGAGAGCCTCCTGTCACGATGCTGTCGACACACATGGGTTGAGATGAGCAACTACTTAAATAAAGGCCAAGCAGCATCTTTTTCCTCCATTTATATTTATGTTCTTTTTTTATAATTACATGACTAAATGAAGGAACCAATGAGCATATCAGTTTCTTCATGGCTGAACAGGACCCCAGAACAAAGGACTGGCTTTCACTTACGTTCTGATTTTTTCCTAGGCGCTGGGGACAGAGGAGAAGGGAAAGCGGATCCCAGTGTCCTGGTTGTGTTCCAGGACTACGTCAAACTGATGCCACTAGTTGCAGAAGCAAATCAAATGAGCGAGGAGCTGAAGAAGGTAAGAGCTAGAGAATGGCGTAATGTCAGGTCCAGAAAGGACCCTGGAGATCCCCTCACTCCCACGGCCCCCAAGTGGCTTCATGCCACAGACAGAGAGGCCTGGAGAGGTGAGGTGCTTTGCCCCAGACCCCATGAGCTAGTGACAGAATCTGGGCCAACACCCAGGCCTTCCCAGCCCCGGCCACGAGGGGCCATTCCTTCCACTCTGGCCCACCACAGCCAACAGGACCACAAGGACCCCAGACCAACATCCCATCCCAGATTGTCCTCCAGGGCGGTCTCTCTGGGTACCTCGGTGGCTTCTATGTCACCAAGAAGCCCCTGGGGACACGGGATCCAATCACCAGGAAACTCATAAGAGACTTCATCACTCCGGTGAGGCTTACAGGTGTTGGTTCCTGGATATCGCTGAGGAATTCTGATGCTTCATCATTTTTCCTGGTGGGAAGTGCAAGGCGCCAGGCCTGGACCATCTTTTTTTAGAAAGTCTGAGCGTGGAAAGAACAAAAAAGAAATAGCGAAGATGCTGTAGGATGACAAATGCAGAATTATGTAGTGAGACGTGTTTCTCCCACCAGGAACTTAAAATGGAATTGAAAGTGAAGAATTTAGCGTCATCAGATTCCAGGGGCTGTGACCTACAAAAAGAGGTCATGGTGAAAGTGACCAACCAAAGGACTCACGAGGTGAGGCTGCCTCTGGGGACAGGCGTGAGCCTCCATAAGGGGTCCCGAGGAGCTTTCCTGGGGACAAGGTTAGTTTCCCTGGCTACAGCCTGTGGAGATCCAGCGAAGGCCCGAGCTGTGTTCCCCGTGTGAGTTGGGACTCTGGGGGACGGACTCAGGGGAGAGGGGACCCCTCCGCCATGTGTCCCCTCTGGCGTCCCTCTCCCACGCAGCACCGAGGCCTGGGGACTTTCCTAACTGTCCATGTCTAGCGCTTTTTATTTTTAACGTCACTCAAAGGCTTTAGCATCAGAAGGGAGCCTGGATGTTTATCTAACTAATAATGGTGTCCATATGCGCGCGTGCGTGCGTGCGTGTGTACATATGAGAGAGAGGGAGGGAGAGAAGAGTGTTGAGGGGAAATCTGCCATTCTGAAGTGATAAGAAAATCCCCACTTTCACTAAGAATCCAGAAAAGGCTGTCTCACAACCCCACTGGCTGACCCGTCCCCGTGCTTGGTATTGCCCACTGTCCCGAAGGTCCTTTTTAGGAACTTAAGACCCATTTCCCTCTCCCTCTGCCTAACAGACTGGGCCTATCTTTTGGTGTCCCTTGCATATGTCCCTTATGTCACCTACTGGAGCAGCCCTCTAGCCAGATGCAGAGGATGTGCCCCTAGTTCTCAGGTGACCTTCAAGTGGGCTGCTCCCTCCCAAGTCTTCAGCGAGTCTTGTAGGGAATGTGTGGCTGGCCACACTGGGGACCTTGCTGTCATCGGATGATGTGCTCTACTGAGCAACTAACGGAGGCTCCTCTGGGTTTAACTTTTCTGCTTATTGCCCTCAAGTTGCCAAAATTTTCCGGGTCAAGATCAGGTTTGAAAAGCTTTTTAAAGTAGTGAAATATGACAAACACAGGGAAAAGACTGTAAGTGTGCGTGTTCACGTTATATAGTGAAGACCTGGGTACTCGCCACTCGGTTTGAGAGGTTTTGCACTAGTGTCTGCCATTTGCTGGGGCCCCCAAGATCTCTGTGTGAGTGTAACTGGCCCCCAGGCCGTGAATGCCTGGGGGACCACCCAAGGACGGGCCACTCCGGAGCCCAAACTTCTGAGACTTTTCCCTCCTCCTCTTCTCCTGGGGTGGAGGAAAGGGGACACATATGCCTTAGTCCATTCAGGCTTCTATAGCAAAACACCGAAGACTGAGTGGTTCACAGAGCAAACATTTCTCACAGGTCTGGAGGCTGAGAAGTCCAAGGTCAAGGGGCCAGCTGCCCCGTGTCTGTCGAGAACCTTCTTCCTAGTTCCTAAGATGGCCATCTTCTCTCCGTGTCCTCAGATGACGGAAGGGGCAAAGAAGCTCCCTGGGGTCTCCTTCACGAGAACACTAATCCCATGCCTGCGGGCTGCACCCTAATGACCCACCTCCTAGTACCATCACGTTGCGGGGGAGGTGCCAGCATTTCCATTTGGGGGGCACATTCAGTCCATAGGAGCATGTGTGATGCTGGCTCACCTCACACTCCCAGAGTAGTTTTCAGGGGTCTCAGTGTGATGTAGGAAGGTCTCCTGTAAGACCCCCCGACCTGGAGGAGGTCAGCATTGACTTCTGTGCCATGTCCCATGAGGCCTTTAGAGCTGAACCCCAGCGTATGCGCTTTTGTTTGTTTGTTTTCTGACAAACGACATCAGGGCAAAGGAGCTTTGCTGATCTGATGTTCTGCGTTTCTCTCTGCGGCCAGGTTTGCTTTGGCAGTTTCCTACCATCTTGTCAGATCTTATTTTATGGAGATTTTTAATTTTTAAAGACTTTCTTCCACGTAGTTCTGTTTTTCACTGTTTATTTATTATTAGAACTTAAAGTGATTTGACAAACATTTTATTTGGCCTTTTTTTTATTCTTAGCAGAAGGGTTATCTGAATGACACAGCCTGCCACTACCGGAAATAGAACACGAGACAGTGTTTTCACACTTTACCCTTGAGCATGTCATCTGGGAAAGCTGAGGCCAGGATACATTTTGAGACACGTTCTTTTCCTTTAACCCAGCATCCCTGTCTCGGTCAGAGACGACCATTTGACAGGACTGCTTCTGCGTAAACGACTCTGGGCTCGCTTTTAAGGGACTGGGCACTAATTAATTTCGTGGTGATTTTTTCTCTTTTCTCATGCAGAGATTAATCTTACTGATCGGTCACTTTCAAGGTTGTCCATTTTTGCCCCTTAAAAGTACCAGTGACCTTTCCTCAGAAGAAGCCTTCCCTTCCTCAGGAGCCCTCTGAAAGGCTGGTGGCACCTTCCTGTAGTTCTTGGCACGCTTTGTGTGCGTGTGGGTTTTGAAGGCCGAAAGACCAGACTGGTGGCGAGCAGCAGGGGGCTCCAGGTACAAGCGGGAGGGCACTTTTGGGTGGTGGATCCTGTAAATGTCCCTCCCTGCACCCGCCACCCCAGACCACAGGGATAATGAGTGCAGCGGCAGCTGCAGGGAGGAGACAGTGTCCCCAGGGACTTTGATGTGACTTTTAGAGTCACACATCACAGACAAGTGCAGGAGCAAGCCAGGGCCGTGTGAGGGCTGGCGAGGGTTTTCTAATGGGAAATGCTGCCAGCTTGCAGCTGCTTTTCAGCAATGTCTGCCCGACAGCTGTTGGCTCAGGTGGAAACGCATCCAGCCAGGGAGCCTCTGTGCCAGCCTGCAGGTCACCCGAGGATGGAGGTCAGCACAGCTCCCCAGCCTGTTCCACTCAGCCTCGCTGACCTGCCAAGGATAACATCAGTTTTACCTGTCACAGGGCCTACGACCAGTACCACGAGTAATGACACAGTGCCTGAGTTCATTACCTACATTCCCATTATCTTAGTTTGCCCCAGCCAGGTTCGCAGTCTTTCTGGAGAGTCTGGGAGAGGGCTACTGTGTTCTGCACTTTACTTGATGCAAACAGAGAAAGATGAAGTCTTTTGAGTGTCCGGAAGAGGTCTTTTTAATGGAGATACATAACACTTGAAAGAATGACATATCTGTTAGTTTTGGGGTTTGTTTGTTTTTTTTCCAAGTTGCTCAGAGGAGTTGGAAGTTTTACCTGGTACCTACTTCTGATGTGACATTTATGGTCAAGAAAATTTCTCACTGGAGCCCCTAACTGTGGCTTATGCTTTTGTCCTCTCTCAGTAGCCAGCGTTGGTACAGAGGCCCCGTCCCTCACCCAGTGAAGGGGCAGACAGTGGCGGGTTCTCGCCCTGGATTTTTCTGCTCACTAGGCGTGGCCATACAGGCTTATTACTTGTAGTGCTTGCTGTAGATCTCAGTTCCAACGTGGACCTCACCAGGCTAAAAGCAAGGTGTTGTTGGCTGAGCCTCTCTGGAGGCTCGGAGAGAACCTGTTTCCTTGCCTTTTCAAACTCCTAGAGGTCACCAGCATTCTTTGGCTCGTGGCCATCTTCCTATATCTTCCGAATCAGCCACATGGCATTTCTCTGACCCTGCTCGTCACATCTCTCTCTCTCTGACCCTCTTTTCTCCCCGCCTCTTCCACGTTTAAGGCCCATGCGATTATGTTGGGCCGACCTGGATAAATCAAGCTACTCTCTCTATTTAAGGTCAGGTGATAGGCAACCTTAATCCCCCTTTGCCATGAAAGGTAACATATTCACAGGTTCTGAAGACTGGGACATGCATACCTTTGAGGACCGTTATTCTGTGTAGCACACGCCCCAAACCCTCATTTCTCCTGGGAGAGTTCTAGCTCTTTCGTCGTCTCCTCGAGTCATTTCCTGGGATCCAGCAATTCAAGCAACGCAGGAGTAACGGGTCAGGAATGAGTGTGGTGCCCTCGAAGGAGCTCACCACAGCTAAGTTTGATGAGAGTGTTATGTGGTCTCGGGTACCCCAAAACCCAGCCCATTGGAGGGAGCATGCTGGGAAAAAAATCATAGGAATGGATTATTAGAGCAGTAAATGAAATAAAATATCGGTGACCTACCTTGGTGTTTCCAGGTGTGGATTTGGTCCAAAGCCAAGTTTATCAATAGGAAATTCCTAATGGAGGAACTTTACCAGCGCTTTCTAGATGGAGAAGACAGCCATGTGGTTCAGGAAGATGACCCATTCTGGGATCCTGTCCAGGTCGTCCACTTGGGCTCTGCTCACATCTGGCTCCAGCCGCTTGCCTACTGCATGAAATTCGAGGAGCAGGCGGAGTTTCTGAACTGCGACGGCCTGGAGGAGGCAGTGCTGCATATCCACATAACCCCCTGCTCCCCGGCAGGACGGTAGGTCTCTCCCTCGCCCCTCTGCCTGGTTCTGTGTCTGTCGCACGTAGAACACTTGGAGCAAGCTGAGTTCTCCTGCAGGGAGCGGTCAGCTTGGAACCTCGAAGAGGTCGTTCATAAGACAAATTAATGAGCTCATTCATTCATGATTTGGCCTCATCAAGTCTGATTTTTACGATGGCAACCAAATCAGCTGACCTGAATATCTAAAATCCATGCCCAGGAGCATTGAAGCAGCTCGGCACTGCCCTGGGGACCAAAGGAATGAGTGCATCCTGCAAGGCAGCAGGAGTAGGAGGAACCTTGGACAAGAACCAATGACCTAGGTCGCTTCCCAACGATGGGCCCTCAGAGCAGAGCAGCCAGGTGTGCTGTAGGCCCTTCCCCCACAGCCCTCCCTGGGACCCTGAGGTATGGCATGGCCACATCTTTCCCATGCTGACGAGGCCCAAGAGTCAGAAGCAGAAAGCACACCCATCTCCGCCCCTGGCAGAGGCTCAGATCTTTTCTTTGTCCCTTTTCTCCAGGTAGGCACTGAGGTGTCTTTGTGTGCTAACTGGCCTCCTACGCTGGTATCAGACCTTTCTGTGGGTACAGGCTTTGTTGGAGCTCTACTCCATTACCTTTTACCCTCCTTTCAGGATATCTCATGTTTCCTCTCTTTAGGCTGTAAGCGGTCTAGGCGGTTTTTATAAAAGCTCAAGTCTCTCGGGAAATCCAAGCAGAGGCTGGCGGGGCGGGGTCTGGTCTGGGTGCCAGGGTCCTCAGACACCCAGTGCAATCTTTCTGTCTTTGTGAAGAGGAATCAGGCTCGAGGAGGGAGCAAAAGACCCACAAGGTCCTATGACTGAGACACCAAGCTGACCACCGACTCACTGTCTTTATCGGGACTCTGAGCGACTTTCTGGTCATTTGGCTACCTTAGGCCTCTAGGCTGCTGGTTTCATCCCCCATTGCAAATTAATGAGGTAGCATTCTAGTTTACAGAGCTTAGCCGATGTGAGCACGGTCCCGTCGGAAAGCTGTCTGAATGGGTTTCTGAGGTGTCCACAGTTCACCAGGGAAAATACGTTGAGAGGCTGTATCTGGGCAGCAGCTGGCTTTCCCTGGTAGCAGCCCCTCTGCCCCCGTGGGGACCTACCTAGATCTTCACTGCGCGTTTGGCACCCACGTCTGGGTGCATATTGCATGAAGCTTTTATATTCCCGTCTCTTCCTTGAGAAGGTCTATGGACCTGGAAGCACCAGCATAGAGTGGGCTCTCGGTAACTGTCTCTTGAATGAATTCTCCAGCTGGATATTTTACCTATTCTTCCTTCTTCAGTGAACTTGGCCATTTCTTAAGGAGTCTACATAATCCCCTTTGACATCACAATCCTAACTTGCTTGGGTCCAGGCTAACCTGGGATCAATGTTCACCGCTTCTGTTTCTAGAGCCTGTGGTGAGGAAGATGTGGTTATTGACCCTTTGGAGCTGCTGGGCAAGAGGATGGATTTCCAGATTCGCATTGTGCGGTGCCTTGGCGCCAAGTGGCTAAAGGAAGATGCAGAGCGGGGCATTCAGATGGGGTACCACCGGCCCGCCCCGCCCCGCAGAGCCGCTGTGCACGAGCCACGAGCCTGTGGGCCCCGTGGGAGGGACTCTTTCCTCAAGTTTTAAAAATGAGTTTACATGAAATTTTCTTAAGTTTCTCCACTTGCTCAACACCAAAATGACTGTTTCCCCGCCTGTTTAATAGAAAGAGAAGCCACATGTCCCTCTAGGCTGGTGGACCATGGTCAGTGTGTACTGACCCTTCTAAGCTAATGAAGCAAACAGAGCCATAAATCTTAATTATCAGAAAAAATATCCAGTAACACTATATTTTCTAAGAAGAATAACTCTTGTTTTGTTTTTCACCTGGAAACGAAAGGGCTGTATTACAACACGTCAGAAGCACCAGATAGGCTTAATTAGGCTAAAAGGATGTTATTAAAAGATAAAGCAATAAAGACTTTGAAGGACAAAAAAACAGCCCCCACAGATGGAAAATGAATTTCAACTTTAGACTCAGTGAAAACTATTAAACCCCTTTTCATTTTTTGTTAGACATTTAATATTATCCCTGTAGCGATACTCATGTTTATACCTGAGGCGCTGGAGGTGGCATCGGGACAATCAGTCAGAGGTCATCTTTTCTATCTAACAGATGCGGGCTCTAATTCTTTGGCTCATCTGATCCTTTTCTTTACAAATGTGTCCCTCCTGGTTTTATATTTTGTTTTCTGTTCTTTCCTCAGGTACAGAATTTATAACCTTCCATATACTTTATATACCAAGCCTGTGTGGAAGATTATGAATCCCCAAATCGAAGAGTCTGTCCAATTTACAGCCCTAAATGCATCTCAGGAGTTTCTGAATTATTTACAGACAAATGCTCTCATTGTTGACTTATGGGGTCTTCAAGGTACCACGTTACTTTTTCTTCTGCATGGCACATTCTTCGGTCTGTACCATGTCGGTATATCCAGGGCTGCAGAGCTGGAGGAGGGAGGTGGTCAGGGCCTTGACTCAGTGGCCAAGAGCCATCTTCCCCTGGTCCCTGGGTTCTAGTCCACAGGAGATGTGGTCAAACACCTCCTCACACAACTCGGGCTGGAAAACTGAGATGTTTCTTTCCTTGATGGTGTCTCCCCCACACTCCAGAAGGCTGTACCGAACTGAGCTGCTCTCAGCTGGACCTCCTGGTCACAGATGAAGGCCACATCATGGTGGACACCAAGAAAATTTCCACGGTGATAGATATAGGCCAGGTGTGTACATTTATGTGATGTTGAAATGGACGTCACGAACGACTAGAAAATCTCAGATGACAGTTACTTGGGGATCATCAATGTTCCTTCCCCTTAACGAGCATTTTCTTGATTTACTCCTGTGTACCTCGATTGGCTTAAACCCTGCTCACCACTCCCCACCCTGTTCCATCTGCTTTTCACATGGGAGTAAAAATTGCGTCTCAAAGGATATGCAAATAACCCAGCAAAAGGCTACAGTGACATATTTTTTGTAGACTGCATCAGCCCAGATGTCAGAACTTTATCTGAAGCTGCTCAGATTAGAACAGGAGACGGGAATGCTCAGAAGCATTAACAGAGCTCTCAGCGAGGAAAATGTGCTTCTCAAAGAATCACTGGAAAAAACTGGTTCTGGTCAGCGAGGTGAGAGGCTGCTCAAGACTTGGTTGTTTAGCTTCTCTCTAAATGCCTACCTTTGGGATGTGTATTTGTCTTTCTAAGAAATGAGCTTTTTCACGAGTCGATCCATTATCTTGCTTCATAAAAAAAGCAGTCCAAATTGGTGCCTGATAAATGCTGATGTAGCAGAATGCCACCAAGGTAAATAAATATATAAATCCCTTGGGTAAATAAATAGATGAATAAAGAAATGTTATCTTTTCTTTCTACCTCAGCACATCAGCCTTCCAGTACCCTGAAGATAACTGGGATGACAGCGCCGTCGCCAGCAGCCAGAGAGCTTGATCAAGCGTGCACTCAGCGAGCCAGCTACGACAGAGAATTTGCCAAAGCTCTTAAGGGGTTCTACCAAAGCATGAATGTGGCAAGAGGGAAGTTTCTCAAACTGAGATGTCATAAGCCTCCCGTAAGTGACAGAATCCTGGGGCGGGAGGAAGGAATCTCTTTCCATTAAGTTTATGTATTTGATATAACGGCTTCCTGAGCTTGGGGATGTGTGTGTGTGTTTAAGCAGAACAGCAGGTGGAGGCCTGTAGCAAACAGGGTGAGGTCTGCTCTTGCTCTTTGCTCTCGCTCTCTTATTTACTGTTCATCTGCCTGGTTCCAGGCTATTTACTGTTTATCTGCCTGGTTCCAGGCTATTTACTGTTCATCTGCCTGGTTCCACGGCTATTGAAGGATTGATATTCGTTCACTTTACGATATACAAAATATTCCAGAAATGCAAGTTTGGTTTCTCGTTATAAAACCAAATAAATGTAATTCATCACATCAAGATGTTATAGGAGAAAAGTCATGATTACTTCAACAGAAAAAAAACATATGCTAAATTCAGCATCCCGCCATAATAAAAACTCTAAGCACACTGGGAACAAAATGGACATTGCTTAGTCTGACAAAGGCGATCTTCCACAGACACGCTTAGCAAGCATAATGTTCGCTGGTGAATCACCGAAAGCCTCCCTGTCTCACCAGGAAGAAGTCAGGGACACCAGCCACCTGCACTTGTATTTGCCCCTGCACTTTAGGTTCTAGCCGGTCCGGCAAAGCAGGAAGTGCAAGGTAGAAAGACGAGAAGGGAAAAACAGGTCACAGCAGCAACAGCACTTACACTTCTTACGAAGAGTTTTCCCGTCACTGACTCAACTCTCGCAATGACTCTAGGAGGTGGGTCCTATTAGTAGCCTTATTTTACAGTTGATGGATCTAAGGCACAGAGAGGTTAAGTAACCTCTAGGGAGGGCCAGCCAGGGTTGCCCCACAGTCTGTACTCCGTCCCATTACAGCAGGCGGCCTCTGTTATAATTCCCAGATGACATATTTATGTAAATAGAAAATCCAGAAGAAATTATAAATTGAATTATAAAGTTGTTGGATACAAAATCAATATCTAAAAAATGTACTGCATTTGAAAATAACAGTACCACGCAGAAAACATTTTAATAAAAGATACCATTTATAACTGCATCAAATATATGAAGTACAGTAAGTGCTCACTTAATGTTGTCAATCGGTTCTATGACTTTAAGTGAAACAACGCACAATGAAACCAGTTTTACCGGAGGCTAATTGATTGACATAAGTAAGAGTTAAGTTCCTACAGCATCTCGTCAACATTATCATGCAATGACATTGAATGAAACGACATCATTTGAGGACCTGATGTCCTCAGACCTATAACTAACATAACACTATGTACTTCTATGGAGAAGTACTTAAAACTTGTTTGAGAGATGTTAAAGATCTAAATAAATGGAGAAACATGCCATGTCTCTATGGTTTGGGAGATATGCTATTATAAATCTGTCAAGTCTCCTTGAGATTCAATGTCATTCCAACCAAGTGTCATGGAATCTGACATGATGATTCCATAATTCAGATGGAATTTCAAAAACAAAGACAAGTCAAGACCAAGACCCAAAAACAAGGTAGGAAGGCTTGCCTTACCTGATATCCAGGCTTATTTTAATGCTCTTATAGACAGTAAAGTGTTGGTCCAAATATAGAGAAGATAACCAAAGGAAAGGAACAGAAGGTCCAGAAACGGATTCTCTTGGGAACAGAGTCTTAATATATGACAGAGGTGAAACCGCAGATGAGTGTGGCATTTTTCAATAAACTGTGCTAGGAGAATTAAGAATATGAACAAGGAAAAATGAATTTGGAACCTTAACTAAAACTATTCCAAGAAATCAATGTTAGTGAGAAATAAAGACCTAAACGAGAAAGGTAAAACCCTAATACTTTCAGAAGTTAGCCGACTGTCTTCATGACCTCGCAGTGGGAAAAGATGTCTTAAACATGACACAAAAATCACCCGGCTTTAAAGAAAAAGATTGATAAATTCACCTATATTAAAATTGTAACCTTTGGTCCAGATACCAAAATAAAGTCAAAAGGAATGAGAGAAGTTATATAATAAACCAACGTCCAAAATAAAAAACTACAAACCAAAAAAAGAAAAAGAAAAAAACCAGATAACTCAAAAGAAAAAATGGTCAGAGGACTTGAATAGGAACTTCGCAAAACAAGAAAACAGGAAAAGGCCAATGAGTATATGAAAAAGTGCATAACCTCATTAATAGTTTGGGAAACACTAACTGAAACCACAATGAAATTCTATTACAAACCCGCCATACTGGCAAAAATGTGTAAGTCTGAAAATAGCAAGTTTTGGTGACAATATGAAGCAAGAGAAACTCTCATGCACTACTGAAAGGAATATAAATTGGTACGACCACTCAAACTGTTCGCCATCTACCTAATACGAGCTGATGATGCATCTACTGCAATCCAACTCTTCTCCACAGAGGAAGCCGGTTCTGCAGAGAATTTGGCCCTAACACCCTGATGCAGACATTCTCAAAGTGTGGTCCCCCAACCAGCAGCTTCAGCATCATCTGAGATCTTGTTAGAAATGCAAATCCCCGGCCCCTGCCCCAGACCTCTGAGCCAGGTCATCTGTGCTTTAACAAGCCCTCCGGGTGATTCTGCTTTAAACTGAAGTTTGCGAACCACCTCACTCAGGCATCCAATGTATGTCATGAATTAATTTCTTTCTTACGTATCAAGATGGTACGAATTATACACCATTTTTGTGAGAATTGAGAAAACAGTCACTCAAATCATTTTCTGTTCTGTGGTTCAGACTAGAGACCAGCTGAAAAAATTGCAGAATCCCTTGCATATCTGTACCAGCTGTTCTTAACATCATCTTCCATAATATCCCCAAACTGGACACATCCTAATGCGCATCCACAGAAGATAGGTAAACTACGGCACCTGCTATACTGTGAAACACTGTCACTCACTAATACTGCTGACTGAAACCTTCAAGTCACAAAGATGCCATCTAGTATGATTCCATAAACGGTCAAAAGACAGGCAAAATATCTACTGTTCAGGGCTACATTCTAGGAGGCAGGAAAACGGCTATCACACAAGTCAGGCTAGTGGTTGTTTCGGGGGGTGGGGGAGAGGGCGAGACCAGGAGGAGCTTAAGGAGCAGAGTTCTTTCTTGAGTGGGTTTGTTGTTCACTTTGACTGTACATTTTGGGTCCTCTTTTGTACGTATATCTCACAATAAAAAAGGAAAGAAAAAATGGTTAGATGAAAGACATTCTAAACAAAGTTAAAAATAAGCCATAGACGGGGAGAATCTATTTGTATTATTTACCATCACAGGTTAGTATCCAGGATATATAAACAACTACTTTTTAAATAAGAAAAGGACATGTCAGAAAACATGTTGGAAAAAGTGGCTAATAAAGTACTTGAGCAGGCATTTCGCTGATAATCAGGGAAGGAAACCAAAATGAGATGCCATGACACCTGACCAGGCAACCCTACCCATGGGAGAATCCCCGCCCTGCACGGTCCTCTGCCAGCCTCGGGACTTCTACAGGATCACAAGAACCTATACCATTCCGGTCTGAAGGATTTGAATTATCTCACCAATTATCCCGACCGGCAGTAACTAAAGGGTCAGTCAGGCAGCCTTCCTGAAACCAAGCGTGCCCCCAGGTGACATCAAGCCTCCATCAGCGACATTCAAATGCAGCTTTCTAGCCCAAAGGGAGAATTTACTGGTCACCCCACCCATACACACTCAGAATTTTTCCTCTAATGATGTGAGCCTACTACCATTTTTTTATTTTTTAGGAAGATGATCAAATGCTTCGACCATTTGTACACCAACAGTCACAAATGTTAAAGGACTTTGGGGAGCTACTTGAATCCAGCTTGTGGAAACTGAAAAATGATGTAGCTCTTATAGTGAAAAAGAAGAGAGAATGTTTATTGCACAGCGAATAATGAGGATACACCAAAGGAAAACGCTGAGCTTTGAGCTGTGAAGATTACTCGGGCTGCTGCTGAGCCTAATGAACTTGGCTATCAGAGCTGAAGTGTGGACGCCGCATGTTCAATCCATTTCCCAATTACTCAATCTATTTCCTCTACCATTTTAAAGCAAAACTCTTCCTCATTTGATTTAAAATGCAAAAATGCACCCACGTCCAGGGTGAAGGTGAAGGGGGAGACATCTGAAGTGAGGGTTAGTTAGCACTCTGAGCTCTGGGTTCCGACTGCCTGTGGTGAAATCCACCACTTAGGAATTGTGTAGTTTGAGGCAAATGACTCCCCCAGTCTAAGTCTCTTTCCTTATCTATTATATGGGAACGATAACAGTACTTACAGAAGTAATTGATAAGAATTTGCCATTAATATTTTCATGGTAAACAGTTTGAAATAAAGCTTTTGATAAATTTCTTGCTGTCGACTTAGAGACGCTGTTACTTCACGCCCCTCTTTTTGTATCTTTGCTCTGTACAGATTCGATATTTTACCTCCACTTATTTTCTGTGTTCATAAGTTCATCTGAAATACATTCAATTCACTAAGCAGAATTAGTGTCCATGCTGTGGGACCGGTTCGGTGCAGGGGTCTGGGGTGGCAGAGATTAAGATTGCTGGTGAGATCTGCCAGGAGCAAGTCAACCTCCAACTCTGTGGACCTTTGTTCTACAGAGTTGACTGACAGGCACTTAGGGCTCTGGGGAACAGCTAGAAAGAAGACTTTTGTGGCCACAGACGCCTAATAACAGCAGCAGTAATCACATGGAGACTTAAAGGGTGCTCGCCGTGTGCCAGGCACTAAGCTAAGTTCTACATATGTGATAGCTCATTTAATTCTCACCATTATTCTAAGTTTGGCACTATTATTTCTCCCATTTTGAGGCTTTGAAAGTTAAACAAGGCTTGTCCAGGCCACTGTGAGAGAACAGTGGGCTGACTCTAGAGACTGCCTTCCTACCCACAAAGGGCCTTAAAATACAGGACTGTCCCAGGAAGTGGCCTGACTGATCAGCGTAAGAAACCAGCAAGGAGGAAATAGATGTGACAACCCAAATCCTTGCTCCCAAAAATATAAAGTTAGGGATATCAAATAGGATCACGGAAACTCTACTGGCAGAAGAGGCTATCAAAGTCTTCAAAAAGGAGCGTCCTCGGAAGGCGGGGAAATCTGGGCTGGTGATTTCTGCTTAATACCAGGGGCCCAGGGGCTTCTGGGAAGGGCAGGGGTTTTGCCTGCAGTTCCGGTTCTGAGTATACACACATGAACCAAAAAATAACCTGTGCCCTTGGAGCCCAAGTGCAGAGCTCCACGTGGTGACGGCAGAACCAGGAGTCAGCAAAGCATGGCGGAATCCTAGAATCCCTGTCACGGGGCAGAGCAGCAGCGATGCCATGAGACGCAGGAATGGCTTCTACCTCTCGGACTAAGCCTCAAAGTTCTGGGATAATCTGCAGAAAGGGTGTTACTTGCCTAAAGTGAGTAACATATTGTCTGCAAATGAGAGCGGATGGAACCTTGGGGGTTGAAAAAAAAATCAGAATCAGATACACTCGCATCTCAAGCTGAAGGACTGGGTCACACAGGTTGTCATACATCAGTGTTAACGCTAGAGCAGAACACAGCATATACCGCAAAGCTGACAAGAACGCTACACGCACAAGCCTCATCTCGTGGCTCCCAAATGCAGACCTAAACCACAGCTTCGCAGACCCCGCCCTCCAGACCTCCAGAATGCAAACTGCTGGGTCCCGCTGGGGACCTCCTGTGGTACTGCCACAGTGCAGTGCCGTGAGATCTGTTGCTTCTGCCCATCATCCTGAGTGTAGAGGTCATAACAACTTTTCTAAGGTCCCACAAACCAGGGCACAGCTGAGACCAGATCGCGACATGCCTGGGGCCCAGGGAGCAAAGTTAGGGTAAAAGCACTGCCTCCGAGAATCTCCCTCTTCCACGCAGGCAGCTCGGAAGGGTCTCCCAACGCAAACAGCGTTCCTGCGTCTGTCACGCTTCTCGCTGTAGAGGAGAAATTTCATAAAGGTAGTGGCTGTCCTCTTTGTGTAGTGAAAAGCACCAAGCATGATGTATGTTTATTTTATGCTTATTACAAAAGGAAAAGTCCCTTGCTCTATGTTAGGGCTTTAGTGGAGCACCTAGTTAAAATACAAAAAGTAAATTAGAGAAAAATTCTGCTTAGGCAGCAAAAATCAATAGAAACTTACTAACTGTATCCTTAAAACTAATTACAGGTACAGAACGAGGGCAAATGAATGACAAGCCCAATTATTAGCAGTGCAGCAGAAGCACCTTCCTGCCCCGCCTCAAATACCTAGGCAGGTCCAGACACAAAAGCACCACTCAATTGACAATCCTTTATTATTCAACTTAGGTAAGTCCAAAATCAGTCAGTGTAGATAGGTGAAAAACTAAGCTAAAACAACAAAAATTGCAGTTTTATTTGGTAAAGGCCCACACATAACACAGAGAAGCTCACTGGACAGTAAGATCCCACCCGAGAGCATGGCCAAGAAAGCAGCGGTCACGGTCTGACAGGAACACCAGCCTGGGCGCCTCGTCACGGGGTCTGTCAGCAACACAGACGAAGACACCCACCGCACCCTCTGACCTGCCAGCTCACTTATAAAAACTGACCATGAATTCTTCAAGTCAAAATATTAGTTCCCTCTCACAAGTAATAAAATCACAAAATCAGCTAAGATTTGAAAGTTAGGGTAAGTTAGTATAATTTTCTGCTTTTCATGTGACATATTTTAGATTTAGTAATCTTTTCCACACATAGGCTTGAGAAGAATTTCAAATATCAAATAAAAAAGCTATTAATTCATGCATTTTATGACTTTGGTTAATTCTTCAAATGTTTAGACTTCAGAGCTGCTAATGACAGTAAATTCAATGCCACGTTGGTTGAGTCTGTCAATCAACTTTGTTCTGGCGAAAGCGGCTCCAGGTGTGAAGACCCCGCCCCTGTAAGACAATAATAAGGTAAAGCAGTTCGCAGGCCCATTGCCAGCGCTTTCCTCTGTGAGTGAGATTTGCTGAAGGACTAGCTATCAAGTCACTACAGAGCTCATGATAACCCGATTCTCGATTCTACATGGACTAGCTGTGCTTCCACTCCTAAAACCAGCCAAAAGAGCAAGCAGCTATTACTCAGGGAAAAACCAGTGTCCAGCAAACCCGTCTAGACTGGTTCAGAGACCAGAGAGACTGTTCCCAAAATTCAGCGTTCGGCGTGCTTGAGAGGCACGCTGAGGTCACGCTGAGGGGTACCCACCCGATAACTGCTGCTGTTTATAAAGATGGCCCCATATCAAGGGGATTCAATAAAGACCTAAGTGAAATAAATTTAGGTAATCAATTATTAACAAAGCATAAACAAGACTTACACTTGATGAAAAAAAGTTTCTTTAAATGTAATGGCAAACATTTATAAAATGCTAAATATTTTCAAAGGGTGTACAAGTACTTGAAAAAATTTATTCAGGTTTCACTTTATACAACTTTTATGTTTATTATTTAATACTATTTCAGGGCTTACCTAAATGTATTTATTTCTCAGCCTGAGGGCCTATGCTCATTTGCAAAGCTAGCCTACTTTTAGGGTGACAGCTAATGTTCCAGTAAGACAGCACCCTTGATAATCATCTAGTCAGAATGCCATGAAGCAATTCATGTTGGTGCCAGCCCTCCCACTGCCAGCTGGAAATCATTCAGCACCATTTAGAGCCTCCTGCTAATTCACATTAACAACAGGGACCTTTTTTGAGTAGTCGACTCTGGACTTGAACTATATTTACATGCAACTGAAGCCAATTTACATGGCTCTCAAACTTTTCTGTTTCCTCTCATTTACCTCTGCCAGAGACCAATAAGGAACTGTCCCTCTCACAGTTTTAATTTACCTCTATCGTTGTGTCAAAGGAATTGTAAATGCTTTTGTGTGGACCCAATGCCTGTAAATCATATCGAAATAAGCTGAAATAAAACACAGATGAAAGAGAGCGTCAAAGTAGAAGAAAACAAGACTTACGCCTTAGGAAGGTCGGCGGCATCATTCAGAAGAGTCATGGCTGCCTGGACCATGGCTATGGGGGTGGCTACATAGCCAGCTTCTACAGAAAACAGGTGACCAAGAGAAAGAAGGTATTCGTGAAGTATGTATTCAACACTCAAAAATCAAATGGTAGATTTTATATCTAACTCTAGGGATACAAAATTTTTCTCAATAAATACTCTGTTCACTTAACAACACAATGAACCATTAACCATTATATAATACTTATAAAACATTAGGAACTCTTTAATGCTTTAAATTTATTATACTCATTTAATTCTGCTAACAATTATATAAGGTTAGTACTATTTTCATCCCCATTTTACAAATGAAAGTGAGGCATAGGGAGTTTAAATGACTAATCCAAACTCAAAGTTAGGTAGTGGCTGAGCCAGAATCACACCTAGGCAGCTGGCTTGAAACTGTGCTCCCACCCATTACACTTTACTGCCTCTTGACAATGATTGAAACGCATAATCCTACGTTTCTTGTTTCTCTATTCATATAGTAAGCTTCACTTAAAAAACAAGACTCAATTTCTTAAAGAAAAACAACTGAGCGACTTTAAAAGGCGTCTATAAGCAAGTGGACATTAGTGTTTACACTTCTGTCAAATAATAAACACAGGAGGAAGCTTATCTTAACAGCTGAGGTGGGAATTTGAAAAGAAGGCAAGACGCAAAGATGTCTTTGCCATCTCACTTGATTAAAACGGCAAAACGGACTTCCTGTGACCTCTCAGGGATGACAGCAACTAAACTGATCATTACACTATCATTTACAAGTGGGACTGTCTCTGTATCGTTCTCTAAAATTTACGTAAGTTTTCGAACTTTGTTGGGTAACAGTTCCTTTTAACAACTGCAAAGACTTTTACCCAACTCAGAACAATGTCAGGGTGATACAGACTCCAGAGAAACCTGGGATCACAGCTTTGATTTATGTTATAATCATACTGCTTTAAAGTGGCCCCTGAGTATGAGAATGAAACAGATAAATTTCAACCAGTCTCTTGTCTTATTAATGTTAAAATTTGCCATTCAGAATTTTTAAATCACACTGGAGGAAAAAAAAACAAAATAGGAGGAGGGATACATTGATAAAATTACACCAATCATTTCAGTCTTTCTTCTGACAATCATTTATCATTAATACTTAAATAACTGTGCAAATGTATTTCTAAAACCATTAAGCTTTAAAAAGAATATACTGTAATAGCACACCGCCTTATAGCTTAAGACAATGTAAAACTCCCAAGCATTCCTAAGCCATATGTGAAATACCTGGTCCTTTCACTTGAGTACAAATTCTGATATTTGGTTTGTTCTTATCAGGACTAAAGCCTTGGCTGTATCCTTGACCAAAGAATGTCATCGTAAACGATGAGGCATCAATCTGAGAAAAAGAGAGCAAAGGGCTTATTTAAGAAATATGTCATTCCCTCCCTGAACACAATCTAACCTACCATTGTACTTCATATGAGGCATTTTCAATAGATAAAAACATCAATTTTCTATCTGCCAGAATATCCTGTTATCCTTTAAGCATGGAGCAAAAGTTAATTCTTTTGAAGATGCGAGTTTTAATGACTGGTGCTGATGCTGGGGGGAGGGAGGTGGTGAGGAATAGGGAGGAGATAAAGATGATTCTTACTGCCTGTCAAATAATAAACACAGGAGGAAGCTTATCTTAACAGCTGAGGTGGGAATTATTATTCTAGTTCCCCAGAAAAGCTGTGGCTTAAAGAGGGACAGGACCATAACAAGAGGCAGTTTCTGGGGAAGAGCTACAGGTAGTTTTCATTTTAGGGTGAGAGAAAGTGGTAATCTGATTTTAGATATCTGTTTGAAGTGACAAGATAAAAATAGCCAGCAAATGATGATATTTTGGGCTTGAGGCACAGATATATAACTGTTCCTCTTAGAGATGTAAAAATTCAATTCAAAATATTAAATTTTAGAAAACTTATCCAAATATCTCTCGCAATCATTAAATTTAGAAATAAGGTAACAAAGAATTCAGTCCTGGTCAATAAATTTTTATGAAGTTATCAACTAAGGGTTAGACACTCTATTAGGCCCTGAGACAGCAATAAAATATGGTCTCTGGCCTTTCCTGGAGCTTACACACACACACACACACACACATCCCTGATAACAGTATGAGACACAAATTAAGAGATGTAGAGAAGAGTTCAGAGGAGGGCATTATTAAATCTATTTAGGAGCAGAGCAGGGTTTTGAAATGTGTACACACATACACACACACGTACACATTCTAATAGAAGTTTATTACACAGAAAAGTAGGGTAGGTACCAGAAAGGAGAAACCATTATTTAAAAGCAAAGCCAAATTAGGATGCACAAGAAAATTAAAATTATAGGCCAATATGTCCCTGATGAATATAAATGCAAAAATCCTCAACAAAATATTAGCAAACCGAATTCAGCAACACATTAAAAGGATCAGACACCCTGAGCAAGTGGGATTTATTCCAGGGATACAAGGATGGTTCAACGTCTGCAAATCGATCTATGTGATGCACCATATTAACAAAATGGACAGAAATTATAAGATCATCTCCAGAGGTGCAGAAAAGCATTTGACAAAATTCAACATCCATTTATGATAAAAATTCTCAACGAAGCAGGTATGGAGGAAATGCGCCTCAGCATAATCTGACAAACCCGCAGCTAACATTATACTCAATGGTGAGAAGCTTGAAGCTTTTCCTCTAAGATCAAGAAGAAGACAAAGATGCCCACTCTCTCCAGTTTTATTTAACATAGTATTGGAAGTTCTAGCAAGAGAAATTAGGCAAAAAGAAAAAATAAAGAAATAAAAGGCATCCGAATTGGAATGGAAGAAATAAAATTGTCACTATTTCAAGATGACACAACACTATATATGGAAAACTCTAAGGAGTCCATCAAAAAACTCAGAATAAACTAATTCAGTAAAGTTGCAAGATATAAAATCAATATACAAATATCTGTTGTTTCCATACACGAATAATGAATTAACCGAAAGAGAAATTAAAAAGACAATCTCATTTACAACTGGATTAAAAAGATACATAGGAATAAATTTAACCAAGGAGGTAAAAGACCCGTATATTGAAAACTACAAGATATTAATGAAAAAAACTGAAGAAGACACAAATAAATGGAAAGATATACCATTCTCATAAACTGGAAGAATTAATATTGTTAAAATGTCCCTACTACCCCAAACAATACACATATTTAATGCAATCCAATCAAAATTCTAATGGCATTTTTCACAGAAATACAACAAAAAGCTCTGAAATTTGTATGGCACTTTAAAAGACCCCAGAAACCAAGGCAATCTTGAGAAAGAACAAAACTGGAGGTATTAAGGTCCCTGATTTCAAACTGTATTACAAAGCTTCAGTAATCAAAACAGCACAGTTCTGGCATGAAAACAAACACACGGATCAGTGGAATTGATCTGAGGCTCACGTGCTACCTGATCATAACCCTCTGAGGAGAGGCGCAGGTTCAGCTTTAGAACAATTTTCAACAGTCTCTAGGCTGCTACTTCCAGTAAATCACACATACACACATACACACACACGTACACATTCTTTGGCATGAAAAACGAAACGGATCTGTCAACCAGGACTAGGTCATGAAGGGCCTCACATCTCCAGAGATGGACAGGGGTTTTGCTCTAGGGGTATGAACCAAAATCACCCAAACCTCACCTCGAACCCTCCTACTTCCACATCAGTGACTTATAACCTTGGCAGTGCATTGGCACCATGCCACATTCCAGACCCATCAAACTCTAATCTCTGGTCACCAGTTTTGGGCTCTCCCTCTTTGTGGCCCCATTCAACATCGACTAAATCAGAATGTCCAGATGTAGGGTCAGGACATGTATTTTAAAAAAGCTCTCTGGGTGATTCTGAGATTAAAGTCCCAGGTAAGGATCGCTGCCATAACAGTAAGTCAGGGAAGCATTTTAAAGAAGGTGATAATGGGGCCAGATTTGTGTCACAGATCTCTTGGAAAGCAATGGGAAGATAGATTAGGAAAAAATCGTAGGAAGGTTATGAACAGTTCAGACAAAGAGATAAGGGCCTGCACTATCCATAGAGTGAAAAGACAACCCACAGAATGGGAGAAAATATTTGCAAATCACACATCTAATAAGGAATTAGTATCCAGAATACAGAGAACTCATAAAACTCAACAGCAAAATTGGGCAAAGGGCTTACATAGACATTTCTCTAAAGAAGATGTATAAATGGCCAATGAGTACATGAAAACAGGTGCAACGTGTCCACTATAAAAATTAAAAAACAAAAACAGAAAATAACAAGTGCTGGCAAGGATGTGGAAAAACTGGAACCCTTTGGCACAGTTGGTAGAAATGTAAAATGGTGCAGCTACAGTGGAAAACAGTTTGATGGTTCCTCAAAAAATTTAAAAAAACAGAATTACTTTAGGATCCAACAATTGCAATTCTGGATATATACCTACAAGAACTGAAAATAGAGTCTCAAAGAGATATTTGCATACTACACCCATATTCATAGCAGCATTATTCACAATAGCCAAAATGTGGAAGTAACCCAAGTCCCCATGGACAGATGAATAGATATTCAAAATACTGAGTGCTGCAGACATCACTTAGGGAGAGTGAGTGAGAAGTAGGCCAAGGATCAACATTTAAGGAAATGAAAGAAGTGAGGATGCAGCAAAGGAAGAGAAGAACAGAGCAGAAATTTGGAGAGCAATGATCTCAGAAGCCAAGGGACGGGAGTATTTCAAGGACAATAGTCAAAGAAGACACAAAATAAAGACTCGAATACTCAATGCACCTATAGAAGTTATAAGGCCAATGGTGACTTTAGTAAGGGGACAATGAAAACTGAAGGAAGGGTTGAGGACTCTTTTAGGTGACGACAGACGCTGGCGTGTTTATAGGATGAGAAGAACGAACCTGTAGAGAGGCAGGAAGAGAACTTACAGAATTGAAAAGGAATAATCAACAGATGAGGCCCGGAGGGAATCCAATCAAAGCTGCAGTGATGGTAAAGACTCAGGCTGGTCTGACTCCAGGAGCTGCCTGCCAGACTCTAGCTGTGTGAACTTTGGCAAACAGCACCCTCTCTTTTTACAATTTATTTCTTTAATTGTTAAAGGGGGTAATAATAATACCTTTACCTAAGTGGTTGTTGGAGAACTAAATATAAAGCACTTGGCCCTGTGCCTGCAACACAAGAAATGCTTGAAAGTTTTTTACGGAGCACCGGTGGCGGGACAGTCTCCTGAGGGGAACACTTCTTTGCGCGAGAAGGTGAGGATGGGAGTGATGCCGACAGGTCTGAGAAAGGGACTGAGGGTGTGCCCCACAGACGCTCTCAGAGCCACCGGCGAAGGAGGAGCGGTGACAGCTGCGAACAAGGAGGGGAGCCGGAGTTGGGCTGAGAGGAGACGCAGAGATGACCAATGAAAAATAGAAGGATCAGCAAGTGATATTCAAAGTTCCGGCGAGAGGGGAGGCGTGAACCTGGAGCGCTGCTACCCTCTCGGAGGTGGAATTTCCCCGCAACAGTGTCTGACAGAAAGGAGGTGAAGGCTGAGTGACCTGTGGCCTGACTCAGGATCTGGAAATCAAATGGTCGACAACGGAGTCTTGTTGCTGAGGATACTGGATAAGCGGTAATTCGGTCTACAATGCAGATCCAGGTATGTGCACGCAGAAGGGAAGAGAAGCTTGGTGGAGGCAGAGAGAGGAGGTAGAAAGGAGGAAATGAAAGAGTAACTATCTGAAATCTCTATGAAGTAAAGAGAATACAATTTCTGGAGCCAGATGGCTGGGTTCTCATTCTAGCTTGGCCATTCACTCGCTATAGGACCTTGGGCAAGTTTCTTAACCTTGCTGTGCCTCAGTTTCTTCCTTTGTAAAATGGATATAATACCTACCTCAAGGGATGTTTGAAAAGATCAAGTAATCTAAGTATGTGAAGAATGTAAAAGAGTGTCTGTAACATAGTAAGTACTGCATCAAGTCTTAGCTATTATTGTCACTGCACTGAGGAAAAGTAAAAACCAAATAAAGAAAAACATTTTAGAGACTTAGAGAAAAAAACCAGTTACCTGTTTCTGTGTTGGACCTTGTTTTGAAAAATAACCAAAGGAGAAGAGCCATGGGAACTACAGAGGAGAAAAAAAAGTCAGTGATATTTTTTAAAACCATGGAAATTACTTCTAAAGATCTAATTTCATTAAAATATTACTTACTTTTATGAGAAGTTGCCTTCCAATGCCAAATCTCACAAAGAATAAAAAGAAAAGTCCTGCGAACATGAGCTTAATAACAGAGGTGATGCCTCCCACAGTTATATAAGCAGCATACTGAACCTAGATGAAGAATATGAAGTCAGAATGTCACTCCCCACTTTTTTAGGCCAAGTAATGCAAGGATGTTAGCTACTTATAATTTTTTCAGTAGCCATAACTATGGACCAAAAGCAGTTTCTACTTCATGAGTATGTTATATTCTGAAAGCTTATTTCGAAACCAGATATTGGGAGCATACTTTTCAAAGAAAGTGCTGCAAAAGGTAATTAGCTTCCTCTACTTGAACACAAAAGTCCACAAAATCTGTATATAAAAAGTCCAATAATATACCTGAATTTAGCAATTATACATTACAGAATGCAGACTCCATTTACGACCTCTTCTATAAGAAAATACTCCCTTATCTTTTGAGGTAGTTTCCTCTTCAAGTCTCAGCGCTGCGAGCAATTCTGTAATGCCCCCACCAGGAGCAGGATGATACCCCAGAGAGAGCAAGGAGAGAAGAGAGAAGAACCAGACTTCTTCAAAAGCGACAGAGTACGCTAGCAGCTGAAACTCTAAACAGAGATTGCTGGGTGTTTCTGAACCAGTATTGCTTGTATTGAGCTTGCCGCTGTTGTGTTACATTAAAAAGGTATCAGCAGGACATTTCTGAATTATGGAAAGAGGCAATTACCAACCCCATAAAATGCAAAATGCTCTACACTACTTCCAAAAGCTGAAACATGCATTATTTAGCTATTCCTTTTTTTTTTTTTTTTTGCTTTATGAACATAAAAATCCTACATTAAACTGTAGGGGAACTGTAACAAACATAGCATGCTTATTAAAATAAATCATTTACACTTACAGGTGATAGCTCTAAATGTTCGTGAAGGTAACGCTGAGTCCGCTTCACAACAGACACATCTGCTCCCATAAAAGGAACGGAGTAACTGCTGAGTTCTCTGCAGTAAGAAACTGGCCACCTGCAAGACAGACTCGTTGCATTTTCTCCATTTACAGTGACCAAAACTTCAACTGATAAATTTATGAATAAAAATCAGGACTTTCCTTGAGGTAGTAATAACAATGAAGATGGTAGATCTGCTCTTAGTTAAAATTTATTTCGATATTTGTCTTTTGTTCTCGGTTTGTGCCCCCGAACAAATGACAAGTGAACACAGTAGTATTCTTCACACCATGGGCATTTAATACAGGCAGTTTAACTATGTTTTACCCCATTGATTTCTTTGGACGATGATAAAAAGAACACTCATTCGACAGCTGAACTCTGAGGTTACAATTCTCACATTAAACGCTATTAACATATTGATTAATTAATATACATAAGATCATTACTTTAAGATGGTGGTTTTACTGAATAAAATTTAATTGGCATTTAATTTTGATATTGATAGTGAAAAGTCATAGAATTCATTTTTCCCCCAGGATCCCAGTGTATGATTACATATGAAGTACTAAGCTTAGGGTAACATAATAGTTCTATTTCATTTATCTTTGAAAAACAATTCTGAACTTACTACAAAATAGTCTCTGGGCATTTCTTAGTAGCATACTTTATTAACAGTCAGAGCGACAACAATATATTTAGATTAGATATACCAAAAAATAGATGTGAATTAATATACCTTCTTTTCAATTTTGAACCAATAATTGGGACAGGTTTCAGATTTGCCTCATTTCGTAGTTTTTTCAAATTTCTGTAATCTCCAAAACCATAAATTATTGACTTCCAGGTACCATCATGAGTGCACAATCCCTAATAAAATAATTCAAGAGTTAAAGAAACATGTCTTAAGGGATAATTACTAATATGTAAAACCAAGTAAGTTATAATTGACACAAAGAATACTTTACTTCTACTTAAGCAAGGCATAATCCCTTATTTAATAATCTTGAGATGGATTTTCATGACCAACTAGGTAGCAACAACACTCAATATTTCGGGCGTATTCAACACTTACACTAACACACGCCCTTTCTTCTTCCTTCCTACCATGACTTATGCTCTTTTCAATAAGCCATTGAGTTTCACTTCATCACTTTCACTCAGTTAATTGACCACATTCTTTCGAAATTAGCCTCCTAATCTTTATCTCTCTGTTGATTCCTCAAATTTTCCAGATATGGTCTGAGCACACTCATGCATACATACAAGAGACCATCCACCTCTACTCCTTCCCTGTGGTATTCAGTGCCCCACCTGCCCCAACATCCCTTACTCTAGCCCCCAAGTTACATAAATGTCTTTCACAGAAGTTTATTTAATTTTTTTTTTTATTTTAAGGTTCATTAATATAATTTATATTATTTCTTTCCCCAATTCCTCAATCTTTTTCTGGTACTGTACCCAGAACAGAATCCTTGCTCGATCTTATCCAGACTCTCATTAGCCCACTTATTTTTCATCTTTCATGAGACCCTTAGCTAGCTCTCAGTGCCTTCCCTTCTTCCAATATCATTATACCTTCCACAACCCTTTCCTCTGACTCCAATTAGAAATGAGTGGCAGAAAAGAGAGCACTGGTGAGGATGTAATCCTAGAACTTACTATCTTAGTGCTGACCCTTCTTTACGGGACTTCTAGGTGGGCCTTTTAATTCTCTATTATGTAAACATTTTAAACTTCACTTATAATTTTAATTGTACATAACTGTATCATGTCCTGCCTTATATGTTGTTTACCTTATTTGAATAAAGTCATTTAGAAAGATTCAAAACCGACTTTGTCACAAGACTTTGAAAGGAGAAATATCAGTAAGGCAGATGTGAAAATATTTTTGATTGCTAATAAGCAGAATAAGAGAAACAATAAAATCATCAGAAGATTCAGGTTTTTATAGCATAGCTCTGATGACACTAAATGGCAGAGAGACACCAAACATAATTTCCATTTGGTACAGGTTAATTTCTTCTGTTTTGTTAAAACTAAAAGTCTTAAGGATTTGATCTGTGAACTGATTCTAAATCTGGCCCTAGCCAATGTGACCTATTTGCAAATGTAAAGATTTCCAAACATCAGGAGAAAACAGCTTTTCAAAAACCTAAGAATATCTTTTTATATAAATAACTCATTAAAAAAGCAAAATTACATTCCATTTAAAAAATCCTATTTCATTGAAAAATATAACATAAAGAAGATGCGCAAAGTATAAATGTACAATTCAATGAAATTATGAAGCAAACATTCATATAGCCCAGAAGGCCCTCCTTCTGTCCTGCCTTTATGGTAATCAAGAAAAATCCTTTCTTTTCTTTGAAGTCTTACCACTTAAATATTCTTTCCTCAACAGTATAGTGGTTTTGCCTATTTCTAAACTTTATAGAATTGGAATCATACAGTATATCTTCCTTCGAGTTCGGCTTCTGTTGCTCAAAATTGTGATGTTTAGATTCATCGTGTCAGAAGGAACTCCTACTCTGCAGCTGACCTTCCCATTTTCTCAATCGTGTCTGTTTTAAATGAACACAAATTTATCAGTCTTTCTTTATACTTAATGCCGTCTGTGTTTCTTTTAAGAAGCGATTCCCTGTACAGCATGGTGACTGTAGTAAATACTGAACTGCATATCTCAAAGTTGCTCATAGAGAAGATCTTAACAGTTCTCATCACAAGAAAAAAAACTACAACTGTACGGAAACAAATGTTAACTAGCCATTATGGTGATAACTGTGCAATATATACAAATATCGAATCATTATGTTGTATACCTGAAACCAATATATCAATTATATCTTAATAAAAATAAATAAATACAAATAAATTTCTGGGGGAAAAAGGTCATTCCTGATCTCGATGCTACGAAATACGTCATCTAAAAGATGTACTGTTTTGCCTTTCACATTTAGGTCTATAATCCACCTAAACTTGATTTTTATACACAAAGTATGAGTGCAGAGTATAAGCCCAATTTCAGATACCCAACTCTCCCAGCATCATCTCCTGATAATATGCACAAACTGCTCTGAGCTTTTTGTTCTATTCCACTAGCCTACTGTTATCCCTCTGCCAATGTAACACACTGACCTAAAAAATCTTGATAGCCAAGAGCATCATTCCACCTTATTCTCCTTCAAGAATGTCTTGGCTTTTCTTGGCCCTCTGCATTTCCATACGTGTTTTAGAATTAACTTGTCAAGCTGAACATCAAAACGAAACGAAACAAACAAAAACCTGTTTTGAGATTTTGATTGGAATTACATGGAATTATAAATCAACTTGAGAAAAACTGACATCTCTAACAAAACTGAGTTTTCCAATCCATGAATATGGTGAATTCTTCCATTTCTTTAACTTCTTTAAGGTCTCTCAATAATGTAGTACAGTTTTCTTCATAGAAATCTTGCATAATTTTTATTATTCCTAGATGCTTGATTTTTAATGCTATTATAAATGGTCTCCTTAAAAAAATCATTTTCTAACTGTAGCTAGTATACAAAAATGCAACTAATTTTCATATTAATTTTGTATTCAGCAACAATAAAGACTAGAGTGGAAATAAATAAAACAGAGAATAGAAAAACAATAAAGAAAATCAACAAAACCAAAAATTGGTTTTTTGAAGAAATCAACCGAATTGACAAACTAGACTGCAGTGAGAAAGAGAGAGCTGGGGGCGGGGGGGCGGGGAAGGGGCGGGCGCGGGCACGGGGAGGACAGGAGAAAGAAAACTCAAATTACTAAAATCAGGAATGAAATAAGGAACATTGTACCAACCTTACAGAAACTGAAAGGAGTATAATGGAATACTTTAAACGAATGTATGTCAACAAATTAGATAACCTGGATGAAATGGACAAATTCCTAGATAGACACGATTATGGATTAGACTGTGTGCCCCATAATTTTTATCTTGAAGGCCTAACCCTTACTACCTCAGAATGTGATCTTATTTGGAAAAAAGGGTGTTGTAGATGTAATTAGTTAAGATGAGGTCATACTGGAGTAGGTGGGCCCTTAATCTAAAATGACTGGTGTCCTTATAAAAAGGAGAAATCTGGACACAGTCACACACACAGGCAGTACACCATGTGAAGATAAAAGCAGAGATCAGAGTGACACATCTACAAGCTAAGGAATATCAAATATTGCCAGCAAACCACCAGAAGCTAGTAGAGAAACAAGGAAAAGATTCTCCCTCATAACCCTCAGAAGGAACTAATCCTGCCGAGATCTTGATCTTGGACTTCTAGCCTCTGGAACTGTGAGAACAGTAAGTTTCTGTTGTTTAAGCCACTTAATTTGTGGTACTTTGTTATGGTGTACTAGGAAACTAATGTAGACACAAACTACAAAAATTGACTTAAGAGGAAATAGAAAATCCTAATAAAACCTGTAAGAAGAGATTAGATCACTTATCAAAAAACTTCCTACAAAGAAAAGCCCAGGCCCAGATGACTTCATTGATGAATTCTACCAAAAGTATAAGGAAGATTTAACACCACTTCTTTACAAACTCTTCCGCAAAAGGCCAGTATTAATTATCCTGATACCAAAACCAGACAAAGATATCACCAGAAAACTATGACCAATATTTTTTATGAATAAAGATACTAAAATCATCAACAAAACACGAGCAAACTGAATCCAGAAATAAAAAAATAATTATATATTGTGACCAGGTGGGATTTATCCCAGAATGCAAGGTTGGTTCAACATATAAAAATCAATCTTATGTAATACACTGTAAGACTAGAATAAAAACAAAAACTACGTGATCATCTCAATAGATGCAGAAAAAGTAGTTGATAAAATGTAATAACCTTCACATTAAAAACACTCGACAATCTAGAAATAGAAGGAAACTTCAATACGATCAACAGCAATTATGAAAACCTGCAGCTAATACAATTTGATGGCAAGAGTCTGAAGTATTTCTCTCCAAGATCAGGAACAAGACAAGGATGTCAGCTCCTGCCACTTCTGTTCACCAAAGGTAGGTTTCAGAGAGAGGAGCAGCAAGAACCGCACTGTGCGGCCTGAACATCTGGAAGGACCCATCACTATCCACTGAAATCGATACGAATACGCTGTGGTTAGAGCACATTTGGAAAGGAAAAGCAGGATGTCATTTATGGACAAACACAGTGTGAGATGTCTATCAATATTCAAGTGGAGATGTCAATTAGGCAATTAGATACTTTAAGTCCACAGTTCAAGAAAAAGATTTAGACATGACATAAATTAGGAATATTTTCTTAATACCCAAATATACAGAGATTTTTCTTGTTATTCCTTCACTGATTTCCAGTATACCTGCAGTATAGTCTAAAACAGATTCTAGAACAGGAATTGGCAAACCGTTTCTGTAAAAGGTCAAACTAATCTAGGCTTTACAGGTCACATATGGCCTCTGCTGCATATTCTTTTTTTATTATAGCTCCCTAAAAATGTAAAAATCATTCTTAGGCTGCAAGCCATAAAAGGCAGGCCATGGGCTGACTCCTGCTCTAGAACGGCACTATCCAATGTGGAAGCCACTATATAGCACATGCGGAACTTTTTCATCATTGTGGGAAGATGTACTGGACAGTGCTGTTCTAGAGCATTATCTCAATCCTCTGAGATTATGAGTCTTGCTTTTTGACCTAGCATGTAGGCTATAATTCAAATCTTTATGTAAAACAAAAAAGCTTAAGGGGAAAGGTAAGATAAGGAGTGGCAGGAGGATAATCTAGTGCCAAGGGAATTAGCTCTGTCATATTCTTGTGAAGTTAAGGTTCTGTATTTTGCTTTAAGGGGAATAAGAGAGGGAGATCCATTGATGCGAACGCTTTAACTCTCTTGCCCTGAGTTAAGCCCCAACTTTGCCCATGGTCACACCTCTGATAAGTGGCAGAACCAGAATTCAAGCTCAGGCAATTCAGTTTCAAAATCTGTACTTTAACCAATCTAGGAAAGACTGCTGATTTGACACTGTAAGAACCATCTGCTCAGTTGCTCCTTTACTGCTTCTAGCAAAAGGAAGACCTTCAGTAGATCTACCTAGTCTTTCCAATTGCCTCTCTTTCAAGAGAAGTCTCTTTTCCAATTCTATCCATTTTCTCACTAAATCCCGGTAATAAACTTTTTTTTTGTCAGTCCTGCACTAATTCCCTGCAACTTCCTACCATTTGTGGTCTAGATTCAGCCACACTATTCACTTTCAGACGTCTGGTTATACAATTCAAGGGGAATAAGAGAGGGAGATCCATTGATGCATAAATTCCTTTCGGTTGTGTTGGTTGAGCTGGGTTGTTAACACATGGTGCCCAGATTTGCAAACATGTCTTTCATCCTTGTTTCTAAGCCTTTGTTCGGGCTGCTGTTTCTGACCTTCCCAATGCTATTCACCTTTTAAGACTGAACTTAGTAAGGCCTCTTTTAGGCATTCCCGAGTTACTGAGGCCCACTATCGCATCGCTTTCATCTGATACTCTGGTGGATACTCTCTGTAACCACACATTTTAACATGTTTTATATAGTTCTTTGTGTTTATGAATCTGAATCCACAATCCAGATGAATAGAACCATTATTCCTACTTAAATATGCTCCACACAATCCACAGTTATGTCTTTATTGTACTATTTCCTCTCCCTTATCCACATCTCTGCAGCACCAAGCTTTAAAATTCAGTCTGTATCCCAGCTTCTCCAAACATTCTCGATCTCTGGCCTGCAGCTACATGTACTCTCCTTTCTCAGAATCCTACAGCATTTGATCTGATCTCTTTAATAACAAACACTCTATCTTCTGCCAAGCTAAATTATGATTTCTTTAAGGGCAAGGTTTGCATCTGAGTCATTTATGTGTCTTGCACTATCCTGCACTACTATATATATTTGTACTACTATACAATATGTGCTGAATAAATATTTTTTAAAGAGAACAAATACTTATAAAGCCTCAAGTATAGATACAGAATTAGGTTAGACACTACTGGCAATAAAAGTGCTATCATAAACACAGTCCTTTCCCAGAAATACGACTATTTTATATTCTCAAAAAGACTATAAATCCAATAAGATTTATCATACATTTCTCATATGGCCACAACAGCACCTAATTCCAAGTTAGGCACATAATAAAAATGTGCAGACTTTGCACTAAGGTAATAACTGCCTTGGCTGACGACATTTATTGCATAACAATGACAGAAACTTTAGTGTCGGGATCATGGTAATTCATTCTCATACAATGAAATGTGCGGTTGTCTTAAAATAAATTCTATTTTTTAAGTCAAAGTTTAAACACAGAGACTTTCATACACTAAAAATTACAAATATATATATAATTTAATCTAAATTTTTTAAGAGGTATGTAAGAGTTCCAAGATGTTTTCAATATTAACTTAGAACACTTGACAAACAGAAAAACTAACCTCAGGTCCTGAATGTATAGTCAGAAAACTTTCCACAGCAGTCAAAGTACCTGGAAGAGTAGGAAAATGGTAAAAATAAAATCAAACAAAATCTATTAATCCAAGACTAGTAATAAGAAACTATTCCTATTAATTTAGGGACTGCTCTGACTTAGCCTAAAGCTCATATAGTAAAATATCTGAACTGATAACAGTTTTATTATTTGTAAACATATTTAAAAGCAGCTGAAGCCACATAAATTGTCAGAAAGAGTAGTTTAGCATAAACTCTAACTGCTAGTATTGACAAAATCTTTTCTAGTATTCAAACTGACAATGCTAAAAATCTCTTCCAATAAGGCAACAATTTAGCCCACTCATTCTGGAAGGCCAGCAGAACAACAGTTCTCAAAATTATATCTATGAGAATTATTCTGTTTTCCAATATGACAGCTTTCGAGAAAACTTAAGAGTGACTTACAATGAAAGTACAAGAAACCTATCAAAACAGCCTTTGTGATGGCTTGTAAAATACTTAAAATAAGGTAGTTAAAATGAAATAAAAATATAACTATAAAAATAGAAAGCCAATGCCAAAACAAAAGGAGAAATTAATATCAACCATAAGGACTAATATATAGGTACAGCAGTTAAGTTTTAATCAATCTTGGATTTTTTCCAGAGCAGGAAGACAAAAGAAAAACATAATGGGCTAGCTAATTCTCAAAATCTGATTAAAGAATTTTCTTAAGAGACAGTGTTCCTAGTTTTAAGTCAAAGAGAAAATTAAAACAGGGTGCTAAGAAAGGTGACGCTAAACAAAATAATGACTAACCATGTCATCAACAATGATGCTATAGGAGAAGAGAATTACAGCCACATAAATGTCACTAGTCTGACAAAAACCAAGAATAGATCATTAAAGTATATCTCACTGAAGATGATTCAGAGGGTTGTTAAGAGAATGTAGCCTGGATATATGGCTGTGATCTAACCCTGTCCACAGAAAGAACAAGGACCGCTAAAGCAGTACGTAATAAAATGTGGATCGCCTGCATCAAAAATCAACTAGGATAATTGTTAAAATGCTCATTCCTATGTTTCGGTATCTGAAAGAAAAGTTTTTAAACAAACCTTAGGAAAAACATTCAAAATAACAAAAACAATTATATATTTAGGAATAATCTCAAGAAATATGTCTAACCACCATGAAGAAAATGTCTAAATTTTACAGACTTAAAATTTTTTTTTTTTTAATAAATGGAGAAATACCAAGTCTATGGATTGAAAGACTAAATATTGTTAAAGATATTCAATTTATGTTTTTCTTTTTATTGGGCATGGTTCCAGTGTTTCATCATTATGATGTTGGCTATTGCTTTCTAACATTTATGATGTTTAGAAAGTATTCTATTCCTCAATTTCTAAAAATCTGAAATCAGTAAATGAATTTGCAAATCATTGGTGGGCATACAGCTTTTCAACTCTGATACTCTGAGGTAATGATTATGTTACTTCCTAATAAACCTTGCTCTTGATATATTATTATTTTAAAATGTCAATGGATATTTACTATAATTTTATTTAGTACTTTTTTTTACTACTAATTTTACAAGTAAGACTGATTTTGGCTTTCGTTTTTTGGGGTGCTATTTTTGTTGGGCTTTGGTTTCAGAGTTAACTTTTTAATATGAACAAGAACACTTTCCATCTTTCTAATCTATAGAACAGTTTATATGGTACTGGAATTATCTGTCTTAGGTCATTTTCTAAATGAATACTTTTTAAATATGCATGACATTAGTAATTTCCATTGTTTTAACATGATATTGATGTTTTCCATTCTTAAATTGTCTCCATTTATAAATGGGGTAAGAAAGATGTCAAAAACTTTGTTCAATGCTTTCTAGCTGTGTTGGTTAAAAAAATTAAAACATTTAATTATAATATCTATCCAATCAATTATATTTTAAAATGTGTTAATTCCTAAACAAAGCAAGTTTGAATTTACCATGGCTGCCAACATTTTTTCTTCCCAGAAATTTTACAGCTGTAACTGTTAAATTGAGACAATGATAACTCCTTACTTAGGACACTTTTAGTATTATCCATATCTTGCAAAACGGTAGTGTCAATAGCATTTTATAACAAGTATAGCTATATTAAAAACAAAGTACATGACAGAGGAAAGACCAGCTGAAGACACAGAGAGAAGAGGGCCATCTATAAGCCCAAGACAGAGACCTCTAAAGAAGCCAAAGCTGCCAACACCTTGATCTTGGACTTCTAGCCAAATAAATTTGTTTAACCCATCTGAAAAAAAAAAAGCATGTGTTTTAACATTACCCATCTTAGTTACGTTTCTTTTCTCGGCCAGATCTTAATTCATCATAATTACAAACATGAAGCCTTTCTACTGATATTCAACTATTGCTTATTGATCAATAATTACCATTCATTTTATTTCTGGTATATATTACTCCCAGATCTGCTGGAATGGAGTCAAAGCCACTGCTTCCAATGATATAAACCCCTTTTTCTGCAGCTTTCTCATGATACTTCCAATACATTTGTTCCAGAAACTAAAAAATTCAGGACAAAAGATCTGAATCAGAACTATATAGAAACATCTCGACCAATATTAAATGATTTACCTTTAAAGACAAAGCAATTAAACTTTGAAAATGCTAATCAATATGGCTCTGTAGCAAAATATTAACTGTCAAAATGTTTTTCACTTATGCAGCAAACATTTACCTCATGTGCCAGGTGGTGCGGGAGACATACCGATCTGACCTAATGACACTAATTTTTTGAGAATGACTTTTAAATGCAAAATACCTCTTATTAAAAATACCTATAAATATAGAAAAATACAAAGAAAGCAAAAAACCACATCACTCAGATGAACATCATTACAGACATCTATGCATTTATATAAATAGAAAAATAGAGGGTAGGAAAGGAGAGGATGTGAGAAGGGAATAATGGCCATTTAAATCCTCCGCCTGTTTTTAAAAATTAATTTTTTTATAACAGCTTTAGATTAAAAGAAAAACTGAATAGAGTCCCTAAATACACCCCACCCACTTTCCCCTATTATTACAACTTTTACATTAATATTTGTTACAATTAATAAAACAATATCAATACTTTAACTGAAGTCCATACTTAATTCCGATTTCCTTAGCTTTTACCTAATGTCCTTTTTTAGTTTCAGGACCTCATCCAGGATACCGTATGACATTTAGTTGTCATGTCTCCATAGGTGCTTTTTGACTGTGACAGTGCCTCAGATTCTCCTTGTTTTTGATGATTTTAACGGTTGTGAGGAGTACTGGTCAGGCGCTTTGTGGAATGCCTCTCTACTGGAATTTATCTCATATTTTTCTCATGACAAGACTGGGGTTACAGGTTTTGGAGGGGAAGACCACAGGAGTATAAAATGCTATTTCCTGACATCATATCAAAAGTACATACTAGTAACACAATTTATCACAGTAGATGTTGACCCTGAATACCTGACTGAGGAAGTGTTTGTCAAGTTTCTCCACTGTAAAGTTATTCTTTTTTCCTTTTCTCTCTCTCGTTTCTATGCTGTGCTCTTTGAAAGGAATTAACTGTGTGCAGCCCACACAGGAGTGGGGAGCTATGTGCTCCCAATCCTGGAGGGCGGAGTAGCTACAGAAATTTGGAATGCCTATGCACAGATTTGTCTCTTCTCATCTCTTTGCCCATTTTTTAACTGGGTTAACTGAATTTGTATTGTTGACCTATAAATATTCTGGATCTTTATTAGGTTTTGATATCACTTTTATGGTAATTTATAATAACAGAAGTTTTCTACATTTTCTCTGCTCTGGAATATTTTAAATAAGACAGGAATTGTTTCCTACTCCTTGAATTAATTTTTTTTTTTTTTTGTAATTTACACTTTCCTAGTATTTCCCAATACTCATTACCAACTGATAAACTCTAAGTATGTGCCAAATTGGCACACTGATGATGGTAAGCAGTAGAGGCTACAGGAACATATGAGGTTACGGTTTTAAAGAAGGTAGTGGGGCTCAGAACTATTAACATTGCACTTCCTGGAGTCAGGCAAACCTCAATTCAACTCCTAGTTTTTCTACTTACTAGTTGTAGGGCTCTGAACAAGTTACTTAACCTTCCTAAGCTTCAATTTCCTCGTCTATAAAATAGAAAGATGATACCTACGAGAATTTTGAAAAAGTAACATAAAATGTTTATTTGGCACACTGTCAGGCATGTGGGAAGCATTCAATAAATGTAAACATTTAAAATTTTTAGGTTGAGGGGATTTTACATTTATTTTTCTGTAATGTAAAGGTGTCTGCTTTGAAAAAGGGAATTCATAATGAAAGTTACAAAACTGAGATTCCAAGAATTACAGTATGCTATTTTAATTCAGTTTACAGCATGCAAAAGCTGTAAAAATCAGCACATCCTGTATACAAAGGACTTGCAATAAATGAGATGGCAGTGAAGAAAAAGCTCAAGAAAACAGAAGGTAAGACTTTGCCATCGCACTCTCGTTCAAGCTATCGTTGGAATACCATCTCTTAATACAAGGGAGGAGTCATCACCTTCTAAACTATGTCTGCAAAATTGCACTAAGTATTACCCACTTCAACAGAAAACTAAGAATATGCTGTTTTTTCTTTTTCATTTTACATACCTGAGGTTCTCCAGAGATGTCAATACAGCTAGTTCCATTTTCAATACATGCTTTTACTACAGGTTCTCCATAAAGTCGATACTGTAGTGAGGATGAAATAATACAAAGAGCTTAGCACAGTGCAGGGCACATGGCGCTCACATATTAGATTTATTCTCTTTTGTTATTAATGGCATTACTCTCCACACAACTGTCTGGTGAGAAATCTAGAAGCTGTTTTTAACTCTACCTATCCTGGAAATCACCAAGTTTTATCAAATCGGTCTCCTCCCTTCCTCGCTACACACCCAAATCTTAGTTCACACCCTTGTTGTCTCTCATATAATTTACTACAAGTAGTAACAGGTTTCACTGCAACCAATCTAGCCCCATCTCCAAAGGAATACCAAATGGTTATTCTGGAAAAAAAAAGAAATCTGTCGTCACCTCTGCTTCTGCACCACACGACACACACACGTTTCATATGTTCTTAGAATCCTTCACTAGCTCTCCAATGCCCATATCACATAATATAGTTTAAAATCTGAGCTTCTTAGCTTGTGACAAAAGGTCCTCAAGCATCATATCACACCACGGCCCCTTAATCACCACATTCCAGCAGTCCCAAGTTCCCGGTAATTTCCTGAACACGCTGCTTCTTCATACCCATGTGTTTCTGCTTCTACTATCTGGAACATCCTCCCCCTCACTTGGCCCACTTCTCCTTTGGGTAATCTGAGGTTGAGATTTCTGCACTAACACCTCAAAATTATTACATTTTTAGATTTTTTTCTATTTAGTACCTTTGTGCTTTTATGAAATAAGTGGACAGAGTCAGAGTACAATTATTGATTTCAGAGGAGACATTTCTCCCCATTGAAGCCAATTAGGTTATAGGTCAAAATTTCAATCCTATTTTCAGCTCTCCACGTTCTAACCGAGTGATCTCCCAAGTAGGTGTGCTTACTTTACGGGATACACAATCCCCAGTGTGAAAGTATTAGCACTTGTATTCATGTTAATTTTTATAGAAAACACAAAGGAAAAAAAGGACATTTTATTAATAGTTAATATGTAGTCTGACATTATGCTCCCAGGCCACGTCAAGTGGTCATGCACTGAATATAGGGTGTAAAAGATATTCTGAGGCAGCCATGGGGGAATTCCACAACACAGAGAGGGCCATAGTCACATACCCTCATTCATTCATTCATTTTCAACATATATAAACCGAATGCCATTCACATAGTTGATAGTTGGTTTTAACTAAATAAACTCTCACAAACTAGACAAATAGATTTAAAAAAAAAATCTACAAAGAAACAAACTATGACCCCAAACTGGCAAAGTTGATACATCTACCCTTGGGAGTACAAATTCTGTTATCTATGTTACAAAGTGAAAATGACAATCGAAGTAAAGCTTAGGGAGGAACATGTTTTGGGGGAAAAAAAATCTAGAGATGCCCATGAACCATCCAAGTTAAACACCAAGAAGGGAGTTAGAGCCACCAGTCTGGAGTTGAAGGAGTAGGTCCTCACTGGGAACAAATTAATGTAGGCATCACCAGCATACAGGTATTTAAAGCCATAGCTTTCAAACCTTTTTGACCACACCCTGCTAAGAAACTCATTTCACATAGCAGCTCCATGCATAAATATACCTGTAAGTCCAGGAGGGCCCTATCCCTACCCTCCGGAGTGTGGGAACCAGACTCCTCCCTCACCTTTGTGTGGGAACCAGACTTTGTAATGTCCGGGCTGGCGATGCTACATGCTCACCTCCGGTTTCCCTGGACTTTCCTCCCTTCCCCGCCAATTTACGTGCCCCAAATATTCCCACCAAAAAAGCCTGCCTCAAGCCCAATATATAAGTTTCAGGTCCCCTAGCATTTGGGGCTGATGTCATATTCGGCTCAGCGTGGCTGTCACTCTGCTACAATAAACCTTGCTTAACCACTTCAGCCTCGTGTGTTCCTCCTTCGGCGAACCTAACAATATCTGACTGAAACAAGTATCATGAACCAGTACTTACCCATATTATGTGTAATTCACCCTATTTTGTATACTACTCTATCTGAATTTTTCATTTCAATGCTGGGTTTCAACCCACTAAATTGATTTCACATTGTTTAAAAAAAAAAAACTGGCCCAAGTTAGAGTCTCTGCTTGGGATCATGAAAAAGTTCTGGAAATAATGTGGTGATAGTTACACAATCTTGTTAACATACTTAATGCCGCTGAAGTGTACACTGAAAAACAGTAAAACGGTAAATTTTGTTATGTATATTTTAACACAATAATAATAAATAATGGCCCAGACAGAGTATAAACACAGAAGTTTCTAAGGCTTGAGCTCTGAGGCCTCTGGCATTTAGAAAGATCCAACAGAAGAGATGAGACACAGGGAAACTGGGAGAGGGTAAGAATCCAGAAGCCAAGTGAAGAAAGGAAAAGGTGAGCAACTGGACCAAATGCTAAGAGGTTTGATTAAGATGAAGACTGAGAACTGATGATTGGATCTGACAGAATCAGGACCTCGGCAGAGTAGTTTCATTGAGGTAGTGAAGATAAAAACCTGACAAGAGTCGTTTAAGACACAGTAGAAGGTATGGAAGCGGAGACAGTAAGTAAATACAACTTTTTCAAGTTTTGCTAAAAAGAAACAAAAAATGGAGTAGCTGGAAGAGTATGTAGAATTAAAGAAAGTTTTTTTTTTTTTTAATTTGTATATTGCTAGAAATAATCCAGCCAAGATGAAAAACTGACGATAACAAGACCATGTGCAACTGTAAACAAGGTCTTCGTGTTTTCCCCTGTAGGAGGAAGGCAGTCAGGGTACAATGTAGGGAGGGAGGGAGGGAGGTGGGCCTGGTGGTATGAAGATAAATTTTCTTTTTACAGCTTCTCTTTTCATAGTAAAAACAAACAAACAAACAAAAAAACGAAACAATAAACACCAGATCACAGTCGGGGGAAAGGGACAGACAGCACGCTAAAAATGAGGAAAAAGCAGCTGAAAAGCTGCTGCTTCCGACCCTGGGCGAGAGAACCGCCTATGGACATGGAGCTGAACCCCGGAGCTGAACCCCGGAGCTGCTGAGGCCCACCTGAGGTTTGGGACTAAGATGTAAAGTGGGACCAGTCCGCGAGGAGATGCATTTTCTCCAGCCATGCTGAGTCACTGCTCAGGTACAGAGTAAGCAGAGAGCTGGAATAAATGGGGTTGGGGTTTTTCCAGAGAACTGGGGAGAGGGAAGGGCAAGGGATCTGGTTGACAGTGTGTGTCAGAGAGTGATTCAAGCAAAGGACCACAGACTCTAAGCTCGTTAAGAATGAAATAAATCTAAATAAACAATTTAAATACATTTTTACTTGATGACAACCAAAAAACCTTTCTTTCATTTTTTAAAATTATCAACAATTTTCTAGATACTTAGGTAAATGTCAATTCTTCACAGAGACCTTTCCTAACCACCCATCTAATAGAGACTGATGTGCTCATTTCTTTAGCTCCTTACTCTGTTTTATTTTTGTTCAGAGGACTTATCACTACCTACTATTATAATCTTATTTTTCTGTCTTCCCCATTGGACTGTAAGCTCCATGAGAGATTTTGTTTTTTCACCATTATATCCCAGGTGCCTAGACTAATGCAGTTTACATATAACAAATGTTCAATAAATACTGCATAAATGAGTCCTTTTTTAATGTTTTTATATATGTTTTTAACATCTTTTGTACAGTAATACAGGAATATAATTTATAAATAAATAAAAAGTGTATTAGGGGTACATGCTCAAACATTTTTTACTTAAAGAGCATACAATTAAAAAAAAAGTTCGGCAATTATAAATAATAAACCAACCAGCACACATTCCTTGAGTATGGTGTCACAGAGAGCCTGACGCTCTCGCAGATTTTGGTCAGATCCATTTACTAATCATAAGAAGTGAAAACACCCCACAGGGGGATAAGGCCCTGAACCAACTCTTCTTTCCCCTGCCCTGATGTTCCTCTGGAATATAAAATATCAGATTCTGCTAGAAATGAATAGATTGTTTGTTCTGACACAAAGAAGGGCTGATTACTTACTGGTCCTACACAATTGAGGACAACTGTTGCCTTTTTAGCCATTTCGTCAAGTGAGGCTGGATTATTAATATCACAAATTATTATTCCAACTTCAGACGGTAGTGTCGGTCTTCCTGAAATAAGAAAGAAACTGTTTTAAGTGAACCCTGATACGGTATTAGATCTTCCAGATCTTTTTACAGTAATCGGTGACTGCAAATTTACTAAACATACTGAAAGCTAACTCGCTCTCTCAAAAGATAAAATTGTTTTTAACCAGGTAGTAAAAAACAAAAAAGGCTATGAGGAAAATGGAGTTAATACTAAGGGTGACTAAAAACACTGCTAATCTTAAAAAAATCTAACAGAAGCAATGTGTAAATGACAATCTTGTGTAAAATAACAATTTTGAAAATCATTCAGATACTGAGATGATTGTCCTGACTTCCTCTTTGCCAAGAATTATATTATAAAAAGTTTCTCATCAACTAAACAATTACATATGAAAAAATTATTGGGTAGAGGAGAATTCTTAATATAAATATAACAAGAACAAAAAAGGACTCAGGTGAAAAGCACAGATTAGATAATAACACTCAGGCTCATAATAAGAAAATAATTGGAATTAACTGAATCAATAGAGTAAACCAGGTTTTGATAGGTCAAGATACAGTCCCCACAATAACTTGATCTGTGGCCATTACAAGCGGTAGGTAACTAGGCTACTCCTGTACAGTCATACTGAGCAGGAAAAAAGAAATAGAAGAATATATTTTAATAATGAAATTATCTCTTTTGTAAAAGTAAAAAAGACCAAAAGATCTTTGGTCAAGATCCCGTATTTGGTAGTGGCAGCAGATACAGGAGAGTCCAGCCTACATTAACCAGAAACAAAACAGATGCTGCATTTCCACCATAAACAGGGCTCTGCGTGGTATTACAAGGAAGTACGTAGTAGTCCCCAAAATCTAACAGGTGCCATTTGTTTGTAAGAAGGGAGACCTAGGGTGGAAAATTAATAGCCAGATCTAAAGATACTGAGTCCTAAATTAGATGTCTCCTCCACCATGAGGGTAGGGGGGTATATAAAAATACGCTGCACGAATGCTTTAAGAATACTTAAACGCCCAAAACAGAGATGCATACTTTTTGGCAGGTGTGTGTGGGGGGCGGGAGGAGTAGATAAAGGGTAAGCCTGCTGGAAGAGTCTTACGAGAAAAATAAAACACTAAAAGCCACAACAACGCCCCACCTCCAAACCACAAGGCAAGGGAAGAGTACAATCTTGAAGAAACCTATTCTCTACTTTTCTATCCAACCAAATATCGAGAACCCCCCAGCTCCAGCTGGTTCCCTGTTTTAGAGTGGGACGACTCAGAGAAAGGAGAAACGAAAGTTCTTGACTATTTCGCCAATGGGACTACCCAAAAGAAAGGAGAAAGTCAAAAGAGGGGGAAAAAATTACTATTATTTTTAACTTTAAGGAGAACAAAGACACTATTTGAAGCATAGCTCTGTTCCCATCCTCCAGCAGGGCTTGTGAAGCTCTAAGGGCGCAGCCAGGGAGGAGAAACGCTCATTTCCGATGGCTCGAACCTCTCGGCCAGGAGAGGACAGCTCCGGGGGTGAGAGCAGCCGCGGCTCCGAGCCCCGTCCCACGCCGCCCTCTTTACCCAGCTTCAGGGCAGCCCTCTCCAGCACTCGCTGCAGCTTCTCCGCCGAACGGCCTGCCACGGCCCAGGGCAAGCGGGAGTTCCCCTCCGGGTCCACCTGCTCCCGGGCCACCTCCTCGGTCACAAACTGGCCGGTGAAGCCAGAGGCGCCGAACACCACCAGGTGGAAAGGCCTCTGCGTAGTCGCCATTACGAACCCACAGCGAGCAGAGGACTAGGGAGGGCTGAGTCCACGGCGCCTGCGCCTCAGGCAGCGACCCCTATACCGGGCGCAGCAACCGCCTCCGTCTTGGCTGCCGGGGTCTTCGCAGCCTGTGCGCGGCGCTCTCGACGCCCCGCGCGCGCTTTCGCGGAGAGGCCACGCCCACGCCCACGCCCACGCCCACGGCCACGCCCCAGCCAGGCCGCGCCTCCTTCCCGGGCAGCTTCAGTTGCGCCGCTGCTTGGAGCTGTGGTTCTGTCGCGGAGCCGCTTCCGTGACTGGCAGGGGCTCTGTGCAGCCCATCCTCCCCCCTGTCGTTGGTCCTGCACTGCTCAGACCGCCTGGGGCCTCACAACTTCTCCCCAGGCCGAAGGCGGCGCCTGTGGCGACATCTATCCTAGAGGGTTGCACAAAGAGTTCGCGAAAACCTTCTGATGACCGGAGGGGACTGCCGACACCAAGCCATCTTTTTTTTTTGTTTGTTTTCGAAACACGCTGGCCTTGTGATGTCTGCGAAGCTGAGTGGAGGTGGTGGGTTGACGCGGGCTCTGGCGTCTCCATGATCATCTCAGCCCTGCCCAAGGCCCAACTCTGCAGCGCCTCTGCCACGAGCCCCTAACTCCACCGCCTTAGTACCCGTTCCTTCGGGGACCCTGCTTCATGGCGGTGACACAGTTGTTACTGTTGAAGCTCCGTGAGGAAATAACTCCCAGAGTTATCCTGCCATTTGAGCTGGGACGTAAAGGAAATCCTCAAAATGTAAAAGAAAGCAAAGGTTTCTTGAGCACTATTATCCATATATTCCAAAACCTTAATATAAGTATAGGCTCAAGTACTAAATACATAAAATGGGAAGGAGACAAATCGCTCAGTACAGAGACTGTGCTGGCTGGAAAATTACTGCTTGGCTTATCGCCCATGGGAACATAGGCTATCACCCATGGGAACGTAACATTCTAACAATAAGCTTTCTGCTTCTGTACCCCCGCTTGCACAACTGACCTGTGGGTTGACAGGTAGTGAATAAGAGAAGAATAGACCTTTGTGTTTAAGACAGAATGAGGAATGGGATTTAGGGCTTAAAAACCCTGTACCTCTACATTTCGGGGCTGCTTAATTTGGGGTCTGCGTACCCCTGGCAGACCCAGCTGGCTGAATAAAGAGCATGTTTTTTAGAACTCATTGATTTCTGGTGGTCCGTGTGTCTTTTCGGGGGCTGGCGGCTACACCAAGACATACCGAATAATTTGTGGAGTTCCTCCCTCCCCTTTGAAGATAGGCTTTGCTTAGTGACTTGCTAACAGAATATAGAAAGGGGGCAAAGGGATAATGCAGTAGAGAAACCTGGTAAACACTACTTCAGCCAAATGATCAAGGTTAAGATGGTCCCTGATAAGCCACGTTGACAGCACGTCATCTTGATATGATGTGATAACAATGACACTTTATCTCTGTGGTCTTCCTCCCCAAAACTCATAATCTTGATCTAACCATGGTAAATATTCTGCAAAATATCTGACAGAACTCCTCAGAAGCAAAGACAAAGTCTAAGAAATTGTCGCAGACTAAAGGAGCCTAGGATGATTAAATGCAATCTGGTAACCTTGAACAGAAAAAGGACATCAGAGAAAAGCTAGTGAAATCTGAATAAAGCATGGAGTTTAATTACCAATATACCAATATTGGTTCCTTAATTGTGACAAATGTACCGAATTAGTGTAAGACGTTAACAATAGGGAAAAATGGTGAGAGGTACAAGGGAAAGCTCTGTACTATCTTTTCGACTTTTCTGTAAATCTAAAACTATTCTAAAATAAAAATGTATTTCAAAAACCATTTACATGCATTTGTATCAGACACGTGTAAATATGTCGTTTTGTTTAATGCCATTCAGCAACATTTCCACGGAGCCTAATCTGTGTCAAGCCCTAAAATAGATTCCCTAATTGGGGGATAAACAGTTCAATTACAGTATACGTAGCAAAGGAGGAGAGGAACTATCTCTGGGGCAGAAGGAACAAAAGAAACAATTGTCCAAGGACCCGTGCATGTGCAGTATTTGGGTATAGTTCACTGAAGAGGGTATCTTCGAGAGGAACTTGGCTTTGACTTAAATTAGTAGGACATAGATACAGGATTGAGGGACAGATACTCATTTATTTATCCAATAAACCCTTATTAGGTGTATCCTATTTACCAGGTACAGAAACCAGGGTCAGATTTTGAAGTAAAGTGGTATTTTAATAAACATCAAGAAGTCCATTGATAAGATTCAACATCCACTCCTGATTTTTTAAAACTCTCATTAAAATATGAGTAGATGGATGCTTTAATAAATTATGAAATCATACAAAAAAAGGTAAAGCCAAAAATACCCATGACACATACAACTTAAGAAAAATATTCCGGATAGTGAGGCTTCTGGGCAGACAGCCCTGAACAGTTCCTGCCCTGCTCTCAAAGTGGCCACTTGCCTAAATTTGGTGTTCACGATTCCTGTTCCTACCTTTCCATTTCTGCTATATATGTATATATTTCTAAGCATTATAGTATTGTTTTGCATAGTTTGACTTTTTAATAAATGCTAATCCTTTTGCATGACCTTATTTGGTCATGATGTCTTCAGCTTATTCTCAAATGGTTCAGAACAAATTATAATGTGTGGTATGTGTGTGTAGAAGGAGAAAATAATACAACACCATGCTACAATGCTTTTGGACAAGTTTTGTACAATACAAGGTATGCTATAATGAAATTCTTGTACATGTCTCCTGGAGTACCCTTTTTTTTATCTTGATATATGTCTAAGATGAAAATTCTCGTACATGTCTCCTGGAGTACCTGTGAAAGAGTATATCTTGATATATGTCTAAGTGCTAGAATATGCACATTTGAGATATAACCAAATTGCTCTCCAAAGCAAATGTACTAATTTACACTCTCAGCACAATATGATAATTCTCTGCTGTTTCGCATGCTTTCCAACTCTTGGTAGTATCAAACTTTTAATTTCTGTCCATCTGGTGGGTGTACAATATTGAGCACCTACTATATTCCTAGCAGTAGGAATACAATACTGGGATACTGCAAAACAAACCAAAGCCCCAACCCTCATGGAATTTACATTTGGTTATAATAACAAAAACAAATGTCCTTCATCAGAGGACTTGTTAAGTAAAGTATGGTATATCAATTCAATAGAAACTACAGTACGCAGTTAAAAAGAGCACCTCGTTCATTTCATGGGCAGTGACATAGAAAATTATGCATGATATATTATACATGAAAAGAACAAGTGTCCTTACAATATGAGGACATAATACTTTATTTAAGATGAAAGAGATGTGTGTATATGCCTACAAACTGTTGGGACAAATCTTAAGCGACAAACCTTAATAAAACAAAAGTGATAAAATCGAAAAATGCTTTACATATAGTCACTGCTCAATAAATGTTACCTATTATTAGTAATAGTAACACTGATTATTACTGGGAAGTGGGTCTGTATGAATTATGCAAGAGGAAAGGGATTTGTACTCTTTACCTTTCTATACTTGAACTTTTGTTTTTTAAATAAGTATGTATGACTTTTATAATCATAATTTTTAAAAATGGAGCAGGTGCTGGCTTTGCAGAAGGGGCCAGAAAACAGCTATGGGAATCACTGTTTCTTATTTGCAGTCCTGCCACTGAGACCAGGTTCCTGTTGTCACCGGTGCATGTTTTTTGGTTCACTGTAACACGAAATAATATGACTAAATTTCGCAAATACTACTTTGAGCCAAGAAAGAATACATCTATATGAATCCATTAATTTCAAGTTCAAAAACAGGCAAAAGCAATCTGTAGTGAAGGAGTCTTAGAAGGATTTGCTTTTGTACTGACTGAGCAGCCTCAGAAGGTTAGGTTCTTCTTGAAGTATCCTCCATATGAAAAATTTCCAAGGGATTCGTTTTCTCTAGAGACCAGAATAGAAGTTCATTCCTATAGGAGAAGACAGTCGACTCATGGACAAGGCTGCTGGCCATCATCTTCATGAAATCAGACATCCAGCCCTCTGAGTGTCACGGGCGAGAGGTAGGACTTGGGGCTGGAGAAGAGAGAAGAATGACTGGAACATTTTGTCAATGTTTGCTAGCCAACAAAGATTCTCTCCTTGACCAAACTCTAGCCAGGCTCCTCAGAGCCCTCTTCTTGACCAGGCCTCATCCTTGGCCTATAAGACTTGAACAAACACCAACGTAGCTTATAACAGCTCAAGGTCGCATGCCTAGAATGACACTAGACTCCCTTAAAGAAAAGCCTGAGAAAAATCAAGGCTGCCAAAGTAATTTAGTATTCACTCCAGCCAATAGCTGAAGATAGGGCCCCTGTTTCCCAGCCTCTGTGGGAGAGTAGGAGCCTAGCTATATAGTAAGTACCAATTAGCAAACCAAATGGGTTTCACATGGACCAACTCTCTTCTTCCAACTCTACTCAGCTCCTGCTCACCTCCCTCCCTATTCCCTCCTTTAAATGTCCAGTCACCTCTGTTGACTTCAATTAACACCAGACTCTTCCTCCTATTGCAATAATATATTACTGACTAAAATCTGTCCTTACCACTTCAACCAGTGCCTAACTTTGTTTATCTTTGACATGGTAAATCAGAAAAAGATAGATAAAGAAACATTAAGGTAGTTCTAAAGGTCTATTTCAAGCTAAAAGAAGAGAACTATACGTGCAATGCGTGGGTTGGGCTGCCGCACTCTGGGGTCCGTCACGCGGAAAAGCAGACGTGGGCATGACCCACCTGTAGGAAATGGTATGGCAGTTATGGCTAAATGGGAAGGAAAGAGGTAATGAGTCACCCATAAGTTGGTTTATTTATTTATTTTTTTTGATTGCTAGAATTATTTGCAGATCACTAGTGATAATGCCATGCCTCTAAATGCAAACAGAAAGCAGGGAAAGCAGCTGATACAAGTCAGAACTTCTCTCATGTGCTACTACATTTTAGAATATACGTGGTCTCAGGACACTGAAAGTTGCAAAATAGTAGAACACAGGCCCATCTCCTGATCTCTAGTTTTTCTAACAATCTCCCATCATGCTGGAATGACTCAGGGAAAAGGAACTAATCTGGGTTGATCTTTTAGGGAAGCAACAGAAATAAAGTCTTTTTTGGTCAATTAAGGTAGCTATCTCTATCTTTTTCCTTCCCTTCTCTTTTATGTATAATTTTCTCCTTTTTTCTACTATTAAACTAAAAATCTGTTTGTTAATTTAAAATGTCCTTTGTACAAATCCTCAGAGATCTATGCTTTACTAATGTTAACGTTTTTATTTTTAATAAACGAGGTATCCAATGGTGCGAGGAAGCCACTCATACTGGCTTACTAGGGACAATTGCTAAATTTGCAGGAATTTTGTGAGTTCAAGTCACATTAGTAACTTGAAATCATCCACAATGGGAGTAGTTACACCATGGAAATTGGCAAATACTACAAATCAAGACTTCCCCCCCCACCGCCCCCCGACAGCTGATTGTTAATACCAGCATACCAATAGAGGCATTGTTTTAAAAAAGAAAGAAAGAAATTTGTCGAAAGCAAGAGAAATTTCAAAAAAAACTCTTTTAAGAAATTAAAAATTGGTTTAATAGAGAAAGGAATCTATTTTTCCTGACTGTCAATGACTCACTTTGGCATAAGCAAAGCAACCTCTGGTTTCTTGTTTTCCTTTTGGGTAAAAAGATAAAAGGGCCTGATGACAAGGTACTATTTTATAAAAATCTAACAAAGCACACACATATTTAAGTAGCAATAATTTTCACCTGTGAAATTAATATGCATCATTATACAAGTGGTATAATTTGTTCACATAACACACCTTCAAGTAATGACCTAAGGAATCATAAGTCATCTCTCATAATCTTCCAATTTCTAAATTTCAAAACAAAAGATTATAAAGACATAATCCTATGAACCAATACATAATACATAATCTTCTAATGTGCACAAAAACTTAATAATCCTTCAAAGGGTTTTATTCATACCTACCTGCCAATTGACAAAAGTCAAACAGCTTTCTCCTCTTCAACAGTGAAAACAATGAACCTTAATAGAGTAATCAGGTAACAGCAGAAACGTCTCACAGACTCTTTTCATCTTCTGCAAACAATGTAACACTCCTGCTGAGGCCTGTGGAAAACCAACACCATCCACAATGACTACTGTATTGATATTTTTGTATTGCTATCTGTAATTTTTAATGAGTATGATACTTTTAAAACATAGCTCCAAAATTAACCTTGTGTGAAACTGAGTGCCTTCCATGTGTTAGGAACCATACAAGTCCATTTTAGATACTGTTATTTCTGCCAGAAAGTAGAGACTTGATTTTATTTAAGCTACTGTGAAAGCAAGCTCTTCAACTAAGCTTTCAGCTTTATGTTACAAAGACCAAAGTTTGAAACACTGGCCTAGGAAACTCTAAATTATACCAAACTAAATCACAGTCTCCTGGTAGAATGAGCGGTTAGTCACCCACGATATGGATATTTCCGATGGACTTATAATAAAATAATAGCTACTTATTAGCACTGATTTTATGCCAGAAACTTTACAAATATTTACAACTCTAATTTACAAATTTAAATCTCATATTAGAAATGAAGGCTAAAAGATTTAAGTAACTTCACCAAACTCAAATGCATAATTGACAGAACAAGGATTTGAACCCAGGTCTTTCTGGCTTCAAAGCCTTATTATTTTCACCATAACCCAATGCTCTTTTCTACAGGAATGTTCCCCTTTTTTGCTAGTGGTTTTTTTCCAGAAAATAGATATTTTCAAACTATAAGTGTATCAGGTTCAAAAAGTTATGAAGTAATTAGCAAAAATCGTGTTTTTGCATGGAATGAGACTAAGAAATAGAAAACACCTAACATTTCTATAGTGTCCTGATCTCTTTTTACTACAATACTTCTGATGTCAAATGTGTGGGTGTTTTTTCCCCACATTAAGCAATTTTCCAACTCTCTGGAACCAGATGGATGTCCTACAATTCAATTAAATTCTAACTACCTGGAGGTAGCACGGACCTCACAGGTTAAGGGCTTAGTCCCACAAAACGGACCCCCACTTCAGACAAGTCCTGGCCTCCCATACTTCTGATCTACTGGCTAAAAATTGAGAGTTCCCTGACCCCTCTTCATCAAACTCAATAATTTGCTATAATGTGTCACAGAACTCGGGGAAATATTTTACTTACTATGATAGTTTATTTTAAAGAATGTTATAAAGAATACAAATGAATAGCCAGATGAAGAAGCAAACAGAACGAGGTCTGGAAGTGTCCTGAGAAGCTTCTACCCTTGCGGAGTTGGGGTAGGCACCCTCCCGACATATGACTGTGTTCACCAATCTGGAAGCATGCATGATGAAACCATTGGCCCCATCCTGAAGCTATCAAGGGTCCCACCGAGATTCACCTCATTAGCATAAATTCAGGTATGGTTAAAAAGTGCTTATTATGAATAACAAAGACTCTCTTTTCTTAATAAGGATTTTAGGAGCTCTGTGCCAGAAACCCAGGATTAAGACCAAATGTATATTTATTATTATATCAGAAGATCGTATTTCACAGGCACTTATCAAAGTGCCAGAACCAGGACTAGAGAACCTCATTTGGCATAAGGTGCAAAATTTACAGAGCCATCAAAACAAAAACAAAAAAAATCCCAAAACCTCAGTAATCAAGGTAAACAATATGTTACGTAAATAATAATATGGGTTTGTGAAATTTTAGATGACTGGCCAGGGAGGCCTCACTCAGAAGGTGGCTTTGAAGGAAGGCTTGAAGGAGAAGAGGGAGCTGGCTATGCAAATATCTGAGAGAACATTCCAGATGGAAGAATGCAACACAGGACCTAAGCGGGGACATGCCCGGTGTATGAGAGGAATAGACTGTAGTTTAAGCAGATTGATGAGGGGACCATAGAGCTATGAGGTCAGAGGGATGATGGGAAGACACATCATGAAGGAGCTTGTAGGTCATAATAAGGACTCTCCTTTTTACTGAGTAAGATGGGAGTCACTTTTGAGCAGAAAAGTCTCTCTACCTATTTTTTTTCAAAGCCTAGTTTTAAACACCCATTCTGACTATCTACTACAAACTACTGAACAGAGACCAAGGTCAGCCTCAGGGAAATGTTACAAGGCGTTAGCAATAATCTAGGTGAGAGGGGATGGTGGCTTGGACCAGGATGCCGACAGCGACAGTGCTAAGAAATGGTCAAAATCCACATATCTTTTGAGGTAGAGTAAATGGGATTTTTCCAATGGATTTGATGGGGGAAGGAGGGCATTGAGAGGAAGAGAGCAAAGATGACTCCAAGGATCTGGCCTGAGCAGCTGGCTGCAAGTTTGAAGTCATCATTAAGACGGTAAAAACGGAAAAGGACTCAACGGTTTTCATTGGTTTGGGGCAGCGGTGCATAGTAGGAGCTCAGTTTCAGTTATGTGAGGTTTGGGATGTCCAGAAGACATCCAAGTGAGAATTCTCAAGTAGGTAATTTAATATTCTCTTTTGGAGCTGTGAAAATTGACATACGTGGAGCCATTTTGAAACAGAGCCGAGTAGCCATGCCAGAGGAACTGCCCCTTAGAATGTCTGACCTGAGCAACATAACCTCTGGATGGGGCCAAAGCAACATTGTCTTCCAAACAACTGTTTGTAAAGCTAACAGGAAAGGAGAAATTCTACCTACAAGGACTGATAATTACGGACATTCTTTAGAATTAGTAAATAGCTATGTATCGCTAAAGAGTAACTCAGCTTGTTAGCACCAAAAGATAATCACATAATTATCCCTTTTCTTTTCTCATAAAACCCCTTGCCATCACCCCATAATTGGGACACAATTTGAGTTTCTGCCTGAATCCGTGTCCCCAAATTGCAACTCTTTTGCTTTCAAATAAAAGCTTGTTGCCTCTGACTTTCGCTTTTGTTTTTGGGTTAATGAAAGCTCAGGGGTGGGATCTGGCTGGAGTTGTACCTTTGGGGTTATTGGTATGTGAATGGTATAGAAAGCCATGTGACTGGATAAAATTACCAAGAGCGTGAGTGTAGACAGAAAAAAGGTCTGCCTATAATATTCCAATATCTAGAGCTGCACAGTTCAATGTAAGAGTCTCTACTCACATAAGGCTATTAAAATTCAATTTTACATTCAATTAAATCTAAAATTTATTTCCTCCATCACACTGGCCACATTTTAAGCGGTTTCTATCCACATGGGTCTACTATACTGGAGAGTCCAGATATAGAACACTTCTTTCATTGCAGAAAGTTCCGTTGGACAGCGTCGACTTGGGAGGAAGGTGAAAAGGAATCAGCAAAGGAGAATGAGAAAGAACAACTAGAAAGGTACAGGTTAAACCAGGAGAGTCGGGTATCTTGAAAGCCAAGCGAAAAAAATATTTCCAGAAGAAGACAGTGATTGTTTCTGCCATATGCTGCTGAGAGTTTTGATAATAGGAAGACTGAGAAAATAATCTTGGCTTAGCAACACGGTGTCATGGGGGATCTGGACAAGGGCAGTTTCTGTAGAAAAGAGGAAGCCAAAATCTTAAGGGTGAACCCAAGCAGTTTTATTATAAAGGAGAAAAATATATAAAGGGCAAGAGCCGGAGGAAGAATGGACATCAAGAGAGAATTTTTGGTTTGTTTGTTTTGGTTTGTTTGTACGCCAATGTAAATAATCCAGTAGAGAGAGAAAAATGGATGATGCAGGGAAAAAGGAAGAATGTGCTAGAGAAATAATCCTTAAATAAAAGACAGGGTGGAATCTCATGCACATGTAGATCCTGAATATTGTGTCAGTGATATTAGGGAGAAGTCATAGTTCTTGGGCATGAATGCGGGTCGATGGATAAGTGTCATGGTAAGAGCTTGTAAAAGTTCCCTTTGGATTACTTGACTTTTTTGCAGTGACATATACTACAGAAAGACAGTCTCACCACTCTCCTCAGATTAGTGATCATAAATTTAAAGCAAGACTGATTGGCCGTGGCTGTTTTTTCTCAGCCGTGCTCAGCTGAGCAGGTCTGGTGTTGCATAAGTAGAGAGTTGGATTCACACAGGATAATGGCCTATGTCAAGCAATGTGATGAAGCAAGAAGTGATACCTCAGGGTTCTGAGCACAGCATTTCTTATCTTCTGCTTAACAGAAACGGGATTCCAGTTCTTTATGTGTTTTTTTTTTCCCACTCCCTTCTAGCTGTCTCTTAATTAGCCTATTGCTTCAAACAGGTATAGAGAAATTTTATTCTTGTTTAGTTGAGAACTTGACAAACATCAAAATTTGCTTAGATTCAAAATAACCCTTAAATGGGAATAGGTTGCTATCACATCTTTGGGAACAGAAATATATATGCAGATAAAACAATTAAGGAGGTTGGAGCTCCAGCTCTTTTGAAAGACAGAGATGAAAATGGCATCACGCAGGGTAGTAAATTTACTTGTTTGTTGAGTTTCTATTATGCCCTTAAGTGTATATCAGGGTTTCTCAATCTTGGCACTATTGATATTTAGAGCCAGAGAATTCTTTCCAGGGGTGGGGGGAGGGAGGGTCCTGAATTATGGGATATTTAGCAGCATCCATGGCCTCTACCCATGAGATGTAAATAGCAGCCCCCAGTTGCGACAACCGAAATTATCTCCAGAATGTCCCTAGGAATGAGGATAGGAACAAAATCACACAAGTTTAGAACCACTTTGGCCACCCAGCCCTTGCTAATGCTTAGCAAGACAAAAAATAATGGGGTATTGGGAAACCTATACATTGTAGTTTGAGCCCCGTTGGGGAAAGGAGAATCTTATCAGGCTAGTATAATATCTGAACCAGAATATGTTCTTGGCCACATGACACTTTAAGTAAACACGTAAAATTTTTTCAGAAAAGAGTATGGGAAATTTAGGTCTCCCTGTTGTTTGTTGCTGTGATGGTTAACTTTGTGTCAATTGGTTAGACTATGGTATCCAGATTTGGACAAACACGAGTGTAGATATTACTGTGAAAGTATTTTTTAGATGAGTATTAACATTTAAATCAGTGGACTTTGAGTAAAGCAGATTATCCTTCCTCGTGAGGGTGGGCCTCATCTAAGCAGTTGAATACCTTAAGAGAAG